GGGTGGTGCCTTCAGTACTGAGGGGCTCACCCCTAATGCCAGGCACCTGGCTCAGAGCAGGTGTCCATGAAATGCGAAACGAACAAATAAAAAGGTTTGCTTTACATTGAAAACAAATGTGGTGTGTTATCCATCATTTAACATTCTGTTGTTTTCATTTAGCATAAGCATTTGTTGACGTTTCTGTCATTTTATATGGCTTAATTTTTATGATCGGACCACATCAGAAAATTAGATAGTATAAATAAGAAATTAAGAATAACTTATTGTCCTAGTATAAGTACTGTTTACTTTGTATTTTCTATAGCCCTTTTTGTGCATGCATTTGAAAATATTTATTTATTTATTTGGAAGGGAGAGAGACACAGAGACAGAGAGAGGCTGAGAGGGAAAGATCTTCCATCTGCTGGTTAACCCCACCCCACCCCGTCCCCATGCCGCCACCACAGGGCCTGGCATCCTCCTCAAGGACAGGGTACCACCGCCCCTCCTGCCTGGGGATCCCTGGGCTAGCAGGGGAGCATAGGCTAGCACAGCTGCAGAGCTGCTGACCCCACTGGTTTCCTTTTAGGACCAAATGAGCCCTCATCTCCTGGGAGCCAATGTCACCTAAAAGAGGAGCCCCAAAGAGCTTGCACTGGTGACGCGTGGGGGAGTCCTTGGCCTTTCCCCTCTCCTGCCCCCGTGTGGGTGACATCTCTGTCCTCTGCTTCCTTCTCACCCCTCCCTGAAGCTGCAGGTCCCCAAGGGTTCCAGGCTGAGCTCGAGGGTCAGTGGCTGACATGCTCTGCTCACTGCACAGTCACATGCTCTGACACACCCACACACATGCGTGTGCAGTCACACATGCTCTAACACACCTGCACACACATGCATGCACAGCCACGCATGCTCTAACACACTCACCCACACTTGTGTGTGCAGTTACACATGCTCTAACACACCCGCACACATGTGTGTGCAGTTACACATGCTCTAACACACCCGCACACACATGCATGCACAGCCACGCATGCTCTAACACACTCACCCACACATGTGTGTGCAGTTACACATGCTCTAACACACCCGCACACATGTGTGTGCAGTTACACATGCTCTAACACACCCGCACACATGTGTGTGCAGTTACACATGCTCTAACACACCCGCACACATGTGTGTGCACAGTCACAATGCTCTAACACACTCACTCACACATGCGTGCACAGTTACACATGCTCTAACACACCAACATGCACACATGTGTGTGCAGTCACACATGTTCTAACACACTCATGCACATGTGTGTACACAGTCACATGCTCTAACACACTCATGCACACGTGTGTACAGTCACAATGCTCTAACATACCCGCACACACATGCATACATAGCCACGCATGCTCTAACACACTCACCCACACATGTGTGCACAGTCACACATGCTCTAACACACTCACCCACACATGTGTGCACAGTCACATGCTCTAACACACACACGTGTGCACAGTCTCAATGCTCTAACACATGCGTGTGCACAGTCATACATTCTCTAACACACTCACACACATGTGTGTACATAGTCATGCATGCTCTAACACACCCACACATGTGTGCAGTCACACATGCTCTAACACATGCACATGTGTGCAGTCGCACATGCTCTTGCACACTCGCCCATGCACACCATGTATGCGCTCATGCACAGACACCCACCTGCATGCACCCACGCACACGTGCTCATTCCTGCCCACATACATCCACGTCTGCCCCTTACGAACACCACAGATATCTAGAAGCTGCCACTGTTTTTGATGGAAGGAGAGGCAGGTTCCTGGGTATTTCCTAACCTCTCACCTTGAATCTTTCATTCCTTAAGCCCCACCCACAGAGGGGGCCAGCCTTTGTTCTAGGTGGGACAGAATTGCATCTGGGACATAGTGCCCATGGCCTTGAGTCAGCCCCAGAGCCTTCCCAGCACGTGGGAAGCCCAGCTTCTGGACAGTCTGCTCCCCGTCCCTCCCGTCCACTCCAGAAATGCCCTGTGGCCATGTTGCTACATTCCGGGGAGAAGAAGCTGGAGTCAAGAAACTGGCTGAACTCCGCTGGCCACTGTCCCCAGGGAGGTCCTATTCTTAGCTGTCCCCTGAGCTCCATTGCCCCTTCCCGCCTCTCACACTGGGTTCCTGGCTAGCCACATGAAATACCTCTCTTCTCCCTAAGCTAATAAAACCCTGCATTTCCTCAAAGACCTTATCCAAGACTCTCCTCTGTACTTTCTGGTACATTGCTTGGGTCACTGCCTTAACCCTCCTCTGTGCCAGCTGCACCTGTGCTAGGGAGTCCCTGTTTAAGACAAAGATTCTGGTTGCCATGAATGGGTTTCTCCAGGCTGAGTGGCCCAGCAGGCCCCTCCAGGCCCAGGGCGCAGGTCCTGTGCTGTTAGCACTGCCCTAGATCAGCTGTGGTGATCTGGAACGCAGGGAGTGAGGGGTAAGGGGTGACAGCCATGCCCCACGCAGGGTCTCCACTCTGCAGGCAGCCCTGACCTGGACACCTGAGTGCAGGCAGCCATGGTGCAAGGCCACCATAGATTTGGCCTTGACACGTTCTAAACAACCACAATGTAGATGAAACAATCAAGATGAATACTGGCTGGTTTGGTCCAGTTTCCCCTTCCTGCCCTCCATAGAGAAGCACCAAGCTGGCAGGGGAAGGAAAGAGCCCAGGACAGTGGCAGTCATTTATTTATTTTTTAAAAGATTTTTATTTATTTATTTGAGAGGTAGAGTTATAGACAGTGAGACCGAGAGACAGAGAGAAAGGTCTTCCTTCCGCTGATTCATTTCTCAAATGGCCCCAACGGCCGGAGCTGCATCAATCTGAAGCCAGGCGCTTCTTCCGGGTCTCCCACATGGATTCAGGGACCCAAGGACTTGGGCCATCTTCCACTGCTTTCCCAGGCCATAGCAGAGAGCTGGATTGGAAGTGGAGCAGCTGGGACTTGAACTGGCATCCATATGGGATGCCAGCACTGCAGGTGGCGGCTTTACCCAGTATGCCACAGCACCGGCCCCTCCTCTGACACTTTTGATTAAGGCTGCTGTATATAACCTGCCATCCTTCCATTCATCCATCCATGAATGAATCTATGCATCCAACCGTCCGTCACTCCTCCCCTTCCTCCACCCATCAGCCATCTTTGGCCACTCCCTCCCTCCATCCCTGCCATCTACCCAGTAAGAGTCACATCTCCTGCGGCCCCTCCATACCCTTGCCTCGCTGCCCTAACAGCTGCTCTTCTTGGGGCCGGCGCTGTGGCGTGGGGGTTTAAGCCTCCATCTGCAGCGCCTGCATTCCATATGGGCTCCAGTTCGAGTCTCAGCTGCTCCACTTCTGATCCAGCTCCCTGCTAATGGCCTGGGAAAACAGCAGAGGAAAGCCAGCAGATGGAAGACCTCTCTCTCTCTGTCTCTCCCTCTCTTTGTAACTCTGCCTCTCAAATAAATAAATATATATATTTAAAAAACAAAAAACAGTTGCTCTCCTGGCGTGGTCAAGGAAGGAACTGTTCCACAGACATGCTTTTTATTCCCAGCTAACTTTTACGTATTTGAAAGTGCCTAACCTTATTTGGTTTGGCTGCTTAAGAGAGAAATTTTCTAAAATGGTCAGTAAACTTGGCTTCCTTTTTCAGAGAGAAATGCCACCTCGTCTATGTCTTTCTGGATGATCCCAGCCACTGTTGTGCACGGAAGTCACATGTTTTGCTGTGGAAGCAGAGGTGTGGGCTCTCAGAGGCCGTTTCTACTTCACCAAGTGCACCCCATGCCCTGCTTGGTGCCCCCTCCTCTCCTCACCGACTCCGAGGCTCCAGTCACCTTCTGCCCCTTCTAGCTTCTGCTATGCTTCTGGCAATTTCTTCTTTAAATTTGCCTTTGGGAAGGAAAATGTTTTTTAAGATTTATTTACTTATTTGAAAGAGCTACAGAGAAAGGAACACACACACATGGAGAGAAAGAGAGAGAGAGAGAGAGAGAGAGAGAGAGAGAGAGAGAGAGAGAGAGAGAGAATGAATCTCTTCCATTTGCTGGTTCACTTGCCAGATGGCTGCAATGGCCAGGGCTGGGCCAGGCTGAAGCCAGGAGGCAGGAGCTTCTTCTGGGTCTCCAACGTGGTTGCAGGGGCCCTAGATTTTGGGCCATCTTCTACTGGATGTAGAAGAGAGAGCTGGATCGGAAATGGGTCAGGAACCAGTGCCCATACAGGATGGTGGCTTTACCCACTTTGCCACAATGCTGGCCATGGAAAATGTTTTTAAATGTTTATTTATTTTCATCTGCTTGAAAGAGGTGTGGGTGTGTGTGTGTGTGTGTTTATATGAGAGAGAGAGAGAGAGAGAGAGAAGAGAGAGAGAGAGAGAGAAGAGAGAGAGAGAGAGAAATTGGTTCATCTGCTGGCTCATGCCCCCAAAGGCCTGCAATAGCCTGGACAGGGCAGGCCAGAGCCAGAGCCAGAGCCAGGAGCTCCACCTGGATCTCCCGTGTGGGTGGCAGGGGCCACTTGGGCCATCAGAAGCAGAGGAGTTGGGATTTGAACTGACGCTCCAGTATGGGGTGCGGGTGTCCCGGGTGGTGGCTTAAGCTGTTGTGCCCCAATGTCTGTCCCTTAAGCTGGGAAATTTGATAACCAGGTATGTTAGCATTATTATACAGCATGGGTTCTGAGTTCTTTCTCTCTTTATCAACGACTTTGTCTGTAAGCCTCTGTGATGCCCGTGTTTGCTCATTCTGGGGTTTCTGTGGGCAGAAATCCTAGACATGGAGGAGCTGCCCTGGAGGTAGCTGAAGGCCTCCTCTTTGGTCCCGGGGGTCTAGAAGAAGGGGTGAGATACCAGGGACTGTCCTGGCTGGCTCCTCCCCAAGGGGTGGGGTGGGGGCGCAGGGTGGGGCAGCTGTGTCAGGGGGCCTGAATTTGCTGAGGCCCAAGGCGGCTGGGCCCCGCTGATAACACAGATGGCCAGGAAGGGACAGTGCCTCTTGGTCACTCCAGCAGTGATGGCCAGCATGGAAGGGACAGAGCCATGGGAGCCTAGTGCGGACGCTGAGGGCCCGAAGCAGGACTGGCACCAGCGGTGAGCCAGGCATTTGGGGTTGGGGAAGGGGCCTCAGCCTGGATGTCGCCCACCTGACACAGCAGCAGGAGTGACAGAGGGGGACATCGAGACACAGGGGGTCCCCTTCACTTCTCTCCATCCATCCCTGGAGCACTCTCCCCTTCACCCCAACAAGTGCTACCTGATTTTGCCAAACCCATCTTTGACTTCGGACAACCTCCCACTCTGACTTTGGGGCAGCCTCACCCCCGGGGAAGGAAGCCCATGACACAGCCCCGTGGGGTTAGGTGGTGGGCTGTGGCTTCTCCAAACACTCTCATACCCACACAGTCACACCAAGCGTGTGCATGCAGCCACACTGGGAACCAGGGGAGGCCCCGGCTGGGCCTGATCTACCTCCCTCATTTTTCTGCAGTTGCAAGGGGTGCACTGCCCCCTTGCCTGGGTCTCCTCCCCGCCCCTCCATGGGGCTTTTGAGTTTGGGGGTGCTGGCAGGCTTGATCCCCACAACCTCCTCCTCTTCTTGCCCAGGATTTTCGTCAACCGCAGCCTGGCACTGGGGAAGATCCGCTGCTTCGGCTTCGACATGGACTACACACTGGCTGGTAGAGGGGGCTGGAACACGGGGACCTTGGGGCTGGGGGCGCAGCAGGGGGTGCCAGGCAGCCAGACACCAACCGGCCCGGGTCTGCAGCCTACAAGTCCCCGGCCTACGAGACGCTGGCCTTCGAACTGCTGCTGGAGCACCTGGTGTGCATCGGGTACCCGCACGAGATCCTGCGCTACACCTATGACCCCGGCTTCCCCACCAGGTGCGGCCGCGCGAGCTGGGGGCCGGGCTGTCGGCGCCCCTGGCACAGCCCCGCACAGCCGCTGCGCTCTCTCCCCAGGGGCCTGGTGTTCGATGCGCTCTACGGGAACCTGCTGAAGGTGGACGCCTACGGGAATGTGCTGTTGGGGGTCCACGGCCTCGCTTTCCTCTCCGAGTACGGCCGCGGGCTGGGGGGATTGGGGGGACTGCGCCCCCTGCTGGAGGGAAAAGGCAGGCGGGAACGGAGAGAGGAGGGAGAGGCTCCCCAGATGCCAGCCAGATGGAGGCGGACCTGGAGAGGGGTTGAGGAGGGAGGAACGGGCTCTGGGAGGCGCCGGGGAGGGGGCGTCGCCTGCACCGAGCCCACCCCTCCCCAGGGCGGAGATCTGGAGCTACTACCCCAGCAAGTTCATCCAGAGGGCTGACCTGCAGCGGTTCCACACCCTCAACACGCTCTTCAACCTGCCGGGTGAGGGGTGAGGGCGGGCAGGGTGGGGGGAGGTGGGCCTCTCCCTCCCTGGGGGCTGCTGCTGACCCCCTGTCTCTGCCCCAGAGACCTACCTCTACGCCTGCCTGGTGGACTTCTTTTCCGGCTGCTCCCGCTACACCAAGTGCGTCCCTGTGGCCTGCCCAGCTCTGTGGGGACCCACGGGGGCCACACCCTCCTGAAGAGATGGAGGGGCTCCAGGAGCTGGGCAGAAGGCTGAGGGGTGGGGGGTGATGCTGGGCACAGGGTGACGTCCCTCGAGGATGGCTGGGACGGAATCCCGGTGTGGGCCCTGGTGTGAGCCCCTCCTCGGTCCTCTGTCTGCCCTCGTCCTGTCCCAGCTGTGACACCGGCTATCAGCATGGGAACCTCTTCATGTCTTTCCGAAGCCTCTTGCAGGATGTGACCGATGCCATGAACAGCGTGCACCAGTCGGTGAGTGGCCCAGGGCCCTCGGACGCCTGACCTGCCCGCCGCTGGTTCTATCGGGTGGTCTCCAGGCCTCTAGGGCCCTCTTCCCTCTGAGGATTGCGGTCTGGACTCGCAGCACTGCTCCTGCCACGTGGGACATAGGCACGTGGGCAGGTGCATGCGTGCACGCGCGCGCGCGCACACACACACACACACAGCTCTGCTCCCTCCTGCAGGGCTGTCTCAAGCAGAAGACCCTGGAGAACTTGGAGAAATACGTGGAGAAGGACGTGAGTGGCCGCAGGTCAAGGCCACCACCAGGCCCTATACCCTCCCCATCACGACTGTCCCGTCTGCCTTTCCCAGTCGCCTCCGTCGAGGTTTAGACACAGCCCTGCAACAGGGCATCGCTCAGGGACTTCCTGCCTGGCCCAGAGCCCACCTGCTGCGGGGGTGGGGTGGGGGTGTGGTAGGGCTGGGAGGGGGGGCTCCCCGGAGGCCCAAACCTACGAAGGAGAGGGCAGGGCTTCTCTGGGAGGCCCCACTCTGGAAGTCACTCCAGTGTCTGCCACAGGCTCGAATCCCCGTCCTGCTGGGCAAGATGAAAGAGGTTGGCAAAGTGTTCCTGGCCACCAACAGCAGCTACAACTACACGGATGTGAGTGTTCGTGTGTGCATGTGTGTGTGCGTAGGGGGAGGAGGGCCTCCTGCCTCCTGGCCCCACTGAGGCACTGCAGGAAACAGTGAGGGAGGTGGGAAGGAGCCCACCCCACTGCCCCCACTGCCAGGCAGGTGTCCTAGGTTCCATTTCTTGGCCTTCCAGGGCCTTGGTGGAATGAGCAGTTTTCCTGCCAATGGGTGTGCCCCGGGGTGTGGGGGTGAGGGCAGAGGCGGGCAGCAGCCCCCTGGTCAGCCCTGACCCTGCCCTGTCCCTTTCAGGCCATCATGACCTACCTGTTTGGCGGTGGGGGGGTGAGTATCACCAGCTGGCTGTGGTGTGTCCCATGTCCCCTGGCTTCTGCCCACCCTGGGAGGAGCTCTGCAGAGAACCGGAGAATGTCCACGGTGTCCGTCACCCACCCCCACAATCCCTGGCTGGGAGGCTGGCGGGGGGGGGGGGACAGGCTGCGTGCACCCGGTGGGCCCCCCCACCATGCTCCCCCACGCCCACCCCACAGGCCAGGCCCTGGAGGTCCTACTTCGACCTGATTGTGGTGGACACACAGAAGCCCCGATTCTTTGCAGAAGGGACGGTGCTCAGGCAGGTCAACACGGTAATGACAGGTGCCGGGGCCCATCCGCTTTGACCTGGGGACCATGGCTGGGGACAGGGACTCCTGCTGAACTCAGACTTCACCTGCGTGAGGGAGCTGCCAGCTCCCTGGAGGCAGGGGACCAGGGACCTCCTTCAGGGCCCTGCAACACCCCTGCCCCCATGCCCCCAGTCCCCCCGCACCCCCGACCCGGGTGACAGCTGCTGTTCTCCTGGCTCAGGGCGCCCTCTGCCCCGCCCCCTCCAGGACTCGGGGAAGCTCCGCGTGGGCACCTACACTGGGCCCCACCAGCACTGCGCCGTCTACTCGGGAGGTAGGCGTGCCCTCACCCAGCCTCCGTCGCCCCACGCCCCTCCCCTGCCCCTCCATTACGGGGAAGGTGAGCGAGATTCCGTCCGCCCTTGGTGGGCAGGCTCATCGGACGTGGTGTGCGAGCTGCTTGGGGTGCGGGGGAAGGACATCCTCTACATCGGAGACCACATCTTTGGGGACATTGTCAAGTCCAAGAAGCGACAAGGCTGGCGGACCTGCCTGGTGGTTCCTGAGCTGTCCTGGGAGCTGGGCATCTGGGCCCGGGAGAAGGGTGAGCCACCGCGGGGGTCGGGGCCCGGGCTGGGGGCACTGGCCAGCCCGCTTGCATCTGCCACCTCTTCCTGGGGGTCTGGTAGTGACCAGCAGTCCTGTCCAGGGTGATCTGTGCGGCACAAGGAGACGGGTGCCCAGATGGGTTAAGCAGCTTGCCCAAAGTCACACAGCCAGGAGTGGGCTGAGCTGGGACTGGGATGCTCGTGGGGTGACTCCAGCCTCCTGTGGCGGTTCGAGGGTGGGGGCTGCCTTCCCCATCTGCCCGGCGGACTCTCGGTGAGAGGAAGGCGCTCCTTCCCTGTTCGCAGTCAGCTGCGGTCGGCGGCAGGTCACCAACCCAGACAGTTTGGGGCTTATTCTCTGAGCTGGGTGTGAGTCATTGCCATGTGAGGTAGGAAGGTCACCTGCTTCCTGCATGCCGCCCTCACCTGTCCCTCAGGGCCCCTCCCTACTTCTGGCCAGTCTCACGTGGCTCTGCCCTGGGGCCAGGGGCAGTGAGTGATTGTCCTCTGTCGGGTTGCAGAGCGGGAGGAGGAGCTGAAGAGGCTGGACACGCGCCTGGCAGACCTGTACCAGTGAGAGCCTGGCCCGTCTGGGGTGGGCTGGGTAGAGGGAGGGAGGCGTGGCCCATGCCCAGGCCTGGCCAACGTGGGCAGGAAATCAGGGGGGTGTGTCTCCCTAATTAACTGGACTTTGGGGCTGCCAATGGCCTCCCTGGAATTCCCACACTCTGACCCCTAGGCCTTTCCTCCTAACCCACCCAGCAGGGGCCTAACCCGCCCAGGTGCCAGCACCCTCACCCAGGGCCCCTGTGTGTCCCCCACTCCCCAGACTCTACGGGGTCTAGGGAGGCGGGCTCCCCTCCCTCTGGGTCACATGGCATTTTTGCACCAGGCACATGGATGGGAGCAGTGCTGGGCTGCAAGTCATCAACTCCACCAAGAAGGAGATTCGGGTAAGAGCAGGGCAGGAGGGGACAGCCCAGTGTGGGAGAAGGGGAGGTGCCCTGGCTTCCTGCCTGGGTTTGCTTCGCCTGGGTCCCTGGAGCTCAGCAGGCTCCCCAGCTGCCTCTGACCTTGTCAGACAGCGCCCTCTGCTGGTCAATGTTGCAAATGACAGCGGTGTGCTCTTGAGCACCGGCCACGTGGAGGCTGATCTGTGTGGTTTGTCAGCTGCCCTCACTCCTCATCCTAACCCCTCCTGAACAGCGTGTGTCAGCAGGGTCGCATCTCGCTGTGACCGGCTAGCCAGCTAGGATGGACATCTAGGAGCCAGCCAGAGAAGGGGCCTGAGAAAATGTGATTGAGCGTCCCAGGGAAGGGGGCCGGGAGGGACGGAGGTGGCGAGATTCCCGCAGGCCTGCAGGTTCTGGGGGCGTCAGGCCACTTACGTGGCAATGCCCGGCCCAGCTGGACCAATCATGAAGGCTCTCGGCAGACTTTGGCAGGTCCTGCCCTTCGGTCATCTCACAGCCCCGTGAGCTCAGCTGGGCAGAGGTTGTCACACTTCACAGAAGAGGATACTCAGGCTTGGGAGGGGAAGCAGCTGGGGGTCAGTGTTCAGGCCCATCCTCCAGGCTCTCAGCGAAAGGCCTGGTAGTGGGCCGGGCGGGGCGCATTGTTCAGTGGGCAGGAGTGGGGCCGGCGGTGTTGGCTTCTGCCGTGCCATTGGCTGGGGCATCAGAAAAGTGAGTTAGGCTGCAGGTTTAGTCCTGCGGGCTCCCTTTCCGGGCATAGCAGTGTGAGGGGAGCAAGGGGTGGCACCTGTCACACAGCTCCTTCCCCGCAGGTGTCCTGGGGAGGGGGTGGAGGTGGGGCCCGCCCCTGCCCCCGCCCTGGGTGGTGCAGGAAGTGGGCTGGGATCTTAGCTCACTGTGCTATCCCCTGGCCAGAGGCTCACCCGGGAGCTGGACCTGTGCTACAGCACCACAGGCAGCCTGTTCCGCTGTGGTTTCCGCCAGACGCTCTTCTCCGGCCAGCTGATGCGCTACGCCGACCTCTACACAGCCACCTGCCTCAACTTCCTGCACTACCCGCTCAGCTCGCTGTTTCAGGCTGCCCCGGAGCTGGTGGGTCCCTGCAGAGCGAGTCGCTGCTCACCTGCCCTGCTAGGACGTTGCCAGGCCACCAGACCCAATCTGCCACCTGCACACACAATGGATCAATGCCCTGTAGAGAGCTGTCTTTGCCTTTACAGTAAAAGTGCACGGGAGAAGTTACACAGAGGAGAGGCCTCTGCTGGGACGTTCCTCCTTATGCCCAACCTTCACTCGTGCTTGATTTTCTTTCATTTAAAATTTTTGGGAGGGACCCATCACTTTATTTCCAACAGGAGCACCCTCCAAATTGTTTTTCTTTTAGATTTATTTATTTTAAAGGCAGAGTTAGAGAGAGAGAGAGAGAGAGAGAGAGAGAGAGAGAGAGAGAATCTTCTATCTACTGGGCTATTCCCCACATGGCTGCAATGGCCAGAGCTGGGCCCATTGGAAGACAGGAGCCAGGAGCTTCCTCCGGGTCCCATACATGGGTGCAGGGGCCCAAGCACTTGAGCCATCTTCTGCTGCTTTCCCAGGTGCGTTAGCAGGGAGCTGGATTGGAAGTGGAGCAGCTGGGACTTGAACTGGTGCCCATATGGGGTGCTGGTGTCATAGGCAGCGACTTTGAGACCACACCAGCGCATTGTGTCTTTGGTAGAAATGGCAACAGTCCCAGGGAGCAAGGGCAGGCCCCATGCTCTCTGCAAGCCCTCAGTGACTGTGAGCGGGGGAGGCAGCCCAGGTGACAGAGTGCATGCGCTGGCAGGTCTGAGGATGCCTGGGCCAAGGGCGGGGAGTAGAGGTGGCTATGGCAGCACCTGGCCAATGCGAGTGGGAGCTGTGGGACTGAGCAGACTAGGGCGTCCTGGAGTGTGCGTCAGGCCCCCACGGGAGGATTGTTGGTTCTACTTTACAAGGATCTGAACTTGACACTGGGTCTTTGGGGCTGGCCACCCTCTGCTTTCGGTGTTCAAGAAGAGAAAAGCTACTTCCCCAGTGTCTGCCATTTCCTGCCCCGGGCTGGGTGCTGCTCGCAGGCTCTGGTTAACGTTTACTATAACCCGGCAATATAGGGTTTCTCCCCTCACTTTCCCGTGAGTGGAATGGAAAGGCAGAGGAACTAAACATCCTGCTGTCACAGTGCTAGCAGGTGGCGTGGGATCAGAACTCCAGGCACACGCTCATGCGACCAGAGCTCCCATCTCCTCTCCGAGCTCTCAGAAGGGCTGGGCCAGGGGTCCCAGGCATGGCCATCCCTGCTGTTGGATGTCACTATTAAGGAGTGAGATGTGATGAAAAAGATGCTCAAACAATAAGGCGAATCACTTAAAAAAAAAAAAAATAGGGCCGGCGCCGCGGCTCACTAGGCTAATCCTCCGCCTGTAGCGCCGGCACACCGGGTTCTGTCCCGGTCAGGGCGCCGGATTCTGTCCCGGTTGCCCCTCTTCCAGGCCAGCTCTCTGCTATGGCCCGGGAGTGCAGTGGTTGGGCCCTGCACCCGCATGGGAGGAGACCAGGAGGAAGCGCCTGGCTCCTGGCTTTGGATCCGTGCAGCGCACTGGCTGCAGCGGCCATTTGGGGGGTGAACCAGTGGAAGGAAGACCTTTCTCTCTGTCTCTCTCTCTCACTAACTCTGCCTGTCAAAAAAAAAAAAAAAAAAAAAAAAAACCTTTACCCACCCTCTGAGAAGGGAAGTGCAGCAGACAGAACCCTCCTTCCCCGGCTGACTCCCCGTGTTCTGCAGCATCCGAAGCTGTGGGTGGGGAGGCCTATAGCTGGCTGAGGTGTCCTGGGGGGGCCTTTCCACACACGGATGTATCTGTCCCCTACAGATGCCACATGAATTGGCCGTGGAGCAAGAACGGGCCAGTCTGGATGCTACCTCCTGCCCCCTTTCGTGCGGCCAGAGGGTGAGTGGCTGGGAGGCAGCCAGGCTCTGCTCCCTGCAAAGAGCCACTGGGCTGTGGCTTAGGAGCTGAGTGGCTCCTGGGGCTACCATGGGCTGGAGCCGTGGTTCCACCAGGGAGGCGTCACCCCTAGGGGGCGCTGTGAAATTTGTGGGGGCGTTTTGGTCTTGAGTATTTATGTAGAAATACACATGGTAGATTGCTTTTCTTTTTATTTTTCCTCGGTTATCATTAGGGCATTAAATCTTTACAATTATGAAGACAATAATTATGAATTTCAGTTCAGGGTAGAAGAGAGGAAATTATTTGTATTTAAAATCGAGTGTTGGCTCTGATAGGGCCACAAGGATTCACTATTTGGGTTCTCTGCACCCCCTCAGAACCCTGCTGGACTATCCATTTTGTTGAAGGTTTATTTTATTTATCTGAAAGGCAGAGTTACAGAGAGAGAGCGGGAGAGACAGAGAGGGGGAGTCTTCCGTCTACTGGTTCACTCCCCAAATGTCCCCAGTGCCATGGCTGGGCTAGGCTGAAGCCAGGAGCCAGGAGTTTCATCCTGCTTTCTTGTGGATGGCAGTAGTCCAAGCACTGGGGCCATCTTCCACTGCTCTCCCAGGCACATTAGCAGGGAACTGGATTGGGACTCAACTCAGTCCAGCTGGGACTCAAACCAGTGCCCACCTGGGACGCCAGCACTGCAGGTGGTGACTTAGCCCTCTGTGCCACAGTGCCGGCCGCAGGGCTGATCCATCTTCCAAAGCCTTCCCCTCTGGGAGAGGCAGCAGCGCACAGGCTCCCCGAGCCCAGCTGACCAGGGCTTCCTCTCCTGACAGCTTTCATAAGCGACGATGTATGAGGATCCTGCTTCAGATCCTGGGAAGTGTTATGTTGCTTCTGCTTTTGGACTGAGGTTGCGTCTTTTCTGAGTGGCAGCCTTGGCTCCTAGCCCGGTTCAGGATCCCCGGGACTTCTCACAGTGATTCCTGCCTCCCTGGTGCGCGCTCTGTCTCTCTCTTTTTAAGATTTATTTATTTGAAAGACAGTTACAGAGAGGGGAGAGACGGGGCAGTGTCTTCCATCCACTGGTTCATGCCCCAGATGGCAACAGCCAGAGCTGAGCCAATTCAAAGCCAGGCACCAGGAGCAGCTTGAGTCTCCCTGATGGGTGCAGGGGCCGCTGCTTCTCCAGGACCATTAACAGAGAGCTGGATTGGAGGTGGAGCAGCCAGGACTCAAACCGGCATCTATATGGGATGCTGGTGCTGCAGGCTGGGGCTTTAACCTTCTGCGCCACAGCGTGGGTCCCCTGGCTTGCTTTTTAAAACACCCATCTCATAGCTGAGTGGTACCAGGCGCCCTATTCGATCTTTCAAGGAGTGTTTACTGAGCACCTCCTACTTGGCTGCAGTGTAGAAAATGAATTGTGGGGGCCAGCGCTGTGGTGTAGCAGTGTCGCATCCCATATGGGCATCAGTTTGAGTCCCGGCTGCTCCTCTTCCAATCCAGCTCTCTGCTATGGCCTGGGAAAGCAGTAGAAGATGGCCCAGGTCTGTGGGCCCTTGCACTTGCATGGGAGACCTGGATGAAGTTCCCGGCTCCTGGCTTCAGATCGGTGCAGCTCTGGCCATTGCAGCCATTTGGGGAGTGAACCAAGTAAACACCAGTGGATGGAAGACCTCTCTCTCTCTCTCTCTCTCTCTCTGTGTGTGTGTGTGTGTGTTTGTCTCCCTGTATCTTTCATTCTGCCCTCAAATAAATAATGACCTTTGGGGTCATTGCTTGGGCATAATGGGTAAAGCTGCAGCCTGCTGTGCCGGCATCCCATATGGACACTGGTTTGAGTCCTGGCTGCTCCGCTTCCGATCCAGCTCTCTGCTATGGCCTGGGAAAGCAGTAGAAGATGGCCCAAGTCCTTGGGCCCCTGCACCAACATGGGAAACCTGGAAGAAGCTCTTGGCTCCTGTCTTTGGATGGGTCCACCTCTGGCCATTGCGGCCATTTAGGGAGTGAACCAGTGGATGGAAGACCTCTCTCTTTCTCTCTGCCTCTCTGTAACTCTGCCTTTCAAATAAATAAATCTTAAAAAAAAAAAAAAGAAAAGAAAAGAAAAGAAAATGAATTGTGAGCTACTTCTTCCTGCTTAGAGAAGCTCAGAATTCAAGCCTTCACGATCTTTCACCAGCAGCTCCAAGTATTCTCCTGTTCCATGCAGCCCACAGGACACAGTCAAAGCGGTGGCCGAGGGCTCTCCAGGGCTCTCATTCCCTGCCTCAGCTTGCCCAGGGCATCTTGACACATTTCTACTCCTGCTTGGGAGTCTCTGTGGGGAGAGACCCACATTGTTTCTCACCAGGCTGAGGGCAAAGAGGGCGAGGAGGACAGACGTGGGCCACACTGAGGCTGGATGCAGGCCAGAATGCATCCCAGCTCACCTTCTGCTTGTGGTGTTTTCCAGGTCACAGGAAGGAGTGTGGACGAAGTGAAAAAGCCACTGTCTTGACACCTCCTCGATGTAACGGACTCAGCTCCCAAGAACATGCTGGGACAAGGGCAGGGGTATTGCGTTTATCCCAGAGGATATCCTCATGACCTTGAGCCTGGAATGGTGTGTAACCACTGCAGTTATTTGACCCAGCTCTCCTGAGCTGTCTTATGGTCCACGTCCAATCTTATTTCTAAATATCTCGTTAACAACAGTGTCTCTAGCACTTTTGATTCTGTTACTTAGTAATACCAATAAAATATGATTGGCTGTAGACTATCTCATTTTTTTTTTTTTAAAGAATTTATTTGCAAGGCAGTTACAGAGAGAGAGGTCTTCCATCTGCTGGTTCACTCCTCGAGTGGCTGCAGCTGGGCCAGTCTGAAGCCAGGAGCTGCTTCTGGGTCTCCCACGTGGGGGCAGGACTCAAACACTTGGGCCATTTTCTGCTGCTTTCCCAGGCCATTAGCAGGGAGCTGGGTCAGAAGTGGAGCAGCCGGGACTTGAACCGGCGCCCATATGGAATGCTGGTGTCCCAGGCAGAGGCTTTACCTGCTATGCCACAGTATCGGCCCCTATAGATTGCCTCATTCACTATTCTTTCATTCCAATTTCAATCCCACTAAGAGGGATTAAGTGAGAAAGTCAAAGGTCTCTGAGTTTAACATATGTGTGCATCAAGACATAAAGAGTCATACTTATGATTTAAAACCTTAGTTATTTTGGTTAGAGCTTCTCTGTGGCCTTTCATTGTTCCGATGTCCCTGATTTGCATTCCCTCGTTCGGCTCACTTCTTTGTAGTTAGTGGTGTTGTTGGCTTTGTATGGAAGCTGAGAACAGATCCACAGGTTTGGAATGACAAAGCAGACCCATGAGGGAAAAGGTCTGATGTCACAGTTCACCAATTTTTCTGTGGCTCAAAAGTGGGAACAATTGAAGTATGCGAGGGGGAAATGAGAGACAGCAGGGCAAGTGCTCCAAGTTCCCTTTTTTTTGATTTTACACACCCTATGCGTTTCAGAAGCTTCCAGGCTTGCTACTGCTAAGCTTTTCCTTTTCCCTGAGTGCTTTCAGGCCTGGGTCGGCTGGAGGGGAGCGTCCCCAGGTGGAGACCAGGGATCACTGGCCTTGTCTTTAAACACCAGGATCTTATTGAAGGGCTAGAGGATAGTATTGTATCAGAAATACTGCTCAGACCCAGAGCCCTTTTTTTTTTTTTTTCCAGGAAAGGTCCTGAAATGTGTGTAGTGACCACATGGTACGAGTAGCCTTTAGAATCCCACTCAAGGTCACAAAAATGCTGCAAAGGACCCAGGGACACATGGCACCACTGCCTTGGGGTCTGCGGGGGTGGGGGGAGGGGAGCAGAGGGCCTTCCCTGTGCTTACCCTGGAGCCTGAAACAGCAGGACCTTTTTGGCCCTGGCCCACAGGCCTCTTTCTCAGGCCTCGGTTACATGCATGATGGGCTGCTTAACAAGGGTCCCCCCTGGACTGTCAGGCCCCGTTGGCTCGGCACTGGCTCTCTGCCAGGGCCGGTGTCCTGTGTGCTTTATTGAATGGAGCCTGGCAGCCGGGTTGGGATCACTCTGGGTCTGCTGGGGAAGGGGTGGGGCAGAGGGCCGGGGATAGAGGAGATGGGAGAAGGCTGTAAAGTTTACTAACCCTTCAGGGACTTTCTGGGTAGGGCGGGGCAGAGACTTCTATTTTCATTCATGTGATGCAAGGTAGCTTTTTTTTTTTTTTTTTTTTTTTTTTTTTTAAGGCTCCTGTCACCACTAGAGTGCAGTTTCTCTGTGTTTTAGAGGTGTCTGCCATCACTCCTGTGGAATGTGCATGGCAAACACTGGTCATCACCCACAGTGCTGGGAGACTCTATTTGAGCAAGTGGCCACCTGCAGACAGTTCCCAGGTGGGTTTTTTTTTTTTTTTTGGTGATGATTTATTTGTTAATTTGAATATCAGAGTTACAGAGACAGCAGGAGAGACACAGAGACAGAGAGAGACACAGAGAGAGAGAGAATCTTCCATTTGTGGTTCACTCCCTAGATGGCCACAGTGGCCAGGAGCCAGGAGCTTCATCACATAGGTGGCAGAGGCCCAAGTACCCGGGACATCCTCTGCTGCTGTTCCCAGGCCATTTAGCCGGGAGCTGGATTGGAAGTGGAGCAGCTGGGACACGAACTGGCACCCATATGGGATGCGGGCATTGCAGGCGGTGGCCTTGTCTGCTACGCCACAGTGCTGGCCCTGATTTTCCAGCTTTGGAGAGGGGTGGGGACACATGACCCCTCCATCCCGGGCAGAAGTGCATTCAGCTTCCAAGCTGTCACCTTAGAAGGAGGGTGCGCCTTCTGCTTCTTCTCTTCCCATCGCTGGAGTGGAGTTGGCTGGGGCTGCACTGTTGGGGTGAGGTGGCTGGTGCCTGGCGCTGTATTAAAACTGCTGGTTTCACTTGGATTGCTGGTCTGAGAGCGGCATTTCCCTCGGACTAGTCATGGCAGTTGGATTGACACACAGATTTCACAATCAAGTCCTCAGGAATCAGGAAATGAAGAGAAGCAGTGCCCCTGGGGTAGTGAGCCAGGGGTGAACAGTAACCAAGCCACCTCCTCTGTAGCATAAGGGACAGTGCTTGGCTCTCAGTGACTCCTGTCTGGTAGGCCAGGGCCACTCCAAGAATGTCTCCCAGGCAGGAACAGTTCCTGACCTGGAGCCAGAGAGCCCCAGACATGAGGCTGCAGCCCTGCTCTTCAGTCTAACTACTCCGATTCCTTCTTACGTCATAGAGCCATTGTGAGGCTGTGCCGAGATATGGGGCCAGGGTCAAGTGCTAAGTCAGTCTTCTATGCTGTCCCAAGTTCTTTTGTGTGTACATTAGTCATTTCTAAGTGAAACTGGCTTAAGCAAAAAGGGGTTTTTTGGGTTCATAAACTGAAAAGTCCAGGGCTCAGCCAATTCCAGGCATAGCATTAGCCAGGGGAGCAAATCCACGTCATGGGATTTAACTCCCTCTCTGCACTCAAGTTTATCTGGTATTTATTTTAGTCTCTGGTATGTTTTGTCCATCTGGGTATAAGGCTGAGGGCCCCACATTCCAGATTTCCATCTTATCTTTTCAGTGACTATATCAGGAAGTCTCCAACAAAAGCCTGGAAACGGAGTCTCACTGGTTCTGAGACCCGACCCCTTCCTCCAATCAAGCCCCCAGCCAGGGAGATGCTGGGCTATAGTTGGCCGGGGCTGGGTTCCACGCCTCTCCGCAGTGACGTCCATTCCTCTTAAACCATTTTAAGATCGAATGGGAAGGAGGTGGTCCCGAGGAAGCTGGCTGCTCTCATTAAAAGAGGCAGTACCCGTGAGCAGGCAAAGAATGGCTGTGATAGCGTGGGAGACTCGGCAGTGCCTGGAGCACAAACACTAACGCACGTGGGGCATCACCCTCTCCTGTGTCCTGGCTCATGGCCGCCCGCAGCGATGCTGTATAATCCTCATTTACCTTTCTTTTTCTTTTTTTTTTTTTTTTTTGACAGGCAGAGTGGACAGTGAGAGAGAGAGAGAGACAGAGAGACAGGTCTTCCTTTTGCCATTGGTTCACCCTCCAATGGCCGGCGCGGCCGGCGCGCTGCAGCCAGTGCACTGCGCTGATCCGATAGGAGCCAGGTACTTATCCTGGTCTCCCATGGGGTGCAGGGCCCAAGGACTTGGGCCATCCTCCACTGCACTCCCTGGCCACAGCAGAGAGCTGGACTGGAAGAGGGGCAACCGGGACAGAATCCGGCGCCCCGACCGGGACTAGAACCCGGTGTGCCGGCGCCGCGAGGCGGAGGATTAGCCTAGTGAGCCGCGGCACCGGCTTAATCTACCTTTCTTAAAATCTTGCTTTACCTCCCCTCCTCACAAAAGTCCTCCCTAACCAGTGTTAGAGCTGACTTCTGCAGAGACTCATCTTCTCATTAGGATTTCCAGTGACGCTCCCTCCTGAGTGATTCAGAGCCTGCCTGCTTTCCTTCCTGTCCCCTGTGTCTAGGAACAGTGATTTACTAAACAAGAGCATTGTTAAGTTTTTACAAAGAGCCCCCAAATTAGGATGCAGATACTGTAGCCCCCACAATCATTTCTGCATCCTTCTGTTCCTGGAAGACAATTTAGTCCAATCAGCTGTTCAATTCCCCATTTGTTATTTTGAAAATTACACATTATTAGGTGCCAGTAGTTCTACCTACAGTGTTACTGTCAGTGCCCAGGGAAGCACTGTGAGATGTCTCTCAAGGAACTGGCAATAAAGATACAGTTGTGGGAACTCGGCTGCAGTGTCAGACAGTGGCAGTGGAGTAGAAGGCTAAGCCTCCACTTGCAGTGCCGGCATCCCATATGGGCGCCAGTTTGTGTCCCAGCTGCTCCACTTCTGATCCCGCCCTCTGCTGTGGCCTGGGAAAGCAGTGGAAGATGGCCCAAGCGCTTGGGCTCCTGCACCCACGTGGGAGACCTGAACAAACTCGCATCCCCTGGCTTTGGATTGGCTCAACTCAGGCTGCGAGGCCACTTGGGGAGTGAACCAGTATGTGGAAGATCTCTCTGTCTCTCCATCTTTATCTGTAATTCTGTCTTTCAAAATAAATGAATATAATCTTAAAACAAAAACAAAACCCTACTATAAAGATGCATGGGCTTCCCAGGCCTGGGGTGGGAGGAGGGCACTGGACAGCAAGGATGAACCATTCTAGGAGGTGAAGGAAAGGTAACTGTACAAGCAAAGGCAGCGGGGCCGGGTCAAGGACTTTGTCAGTGGAAGTGAGAGGCAGAGTCTGAAGTCCAGGCGAGGCTACTCCCAACAGAGGGACTTGCTTCAGGGCCGCTTGGCCGGGTGATGGTGACTGTCTGGTTCCTCTAATCCCGTGTTCAGACTCCGTGATCGCTAAAGCACCCTCTGGGTGACTCCCAGGTGCAGTAAGTCTTTCTGAAGGGAAGGAAAGGGCCGGCTATGTGGATTCCTGGATTGCAGCTGTAGTGACAATCTGTCGTCTCCTAGCATCAGGGTTTTTAGCTGCTTTATGAGGCTTGTTGTTATGAATCTAATGGAGGGAGAGTGTGTGTGACAGAGGGAGTGAGAGAGAGCTCTGCTTCCTCACAATGAAATGTCTGGTTCCTCATCGAGGCTGGCTGCCAGCCCCCTGAGCGAGGGCAGCCCCGGGCAGTGACTGCTCCAGGGAGGCCTCTTCAAACAGCCCACAGGAAGCCCTCATTCTCTTGCCAAACCAGCATCACTTTTTTCCATAATAAATAAGATAAATGAGTAAGGAACAAACATGCATTTAATGGTTGTTTTTAGATAATACTTAAATATTAAGAAAGCTAAAATTTAAAATGTGCTGACTGGGTTTTTCTATACATTCTATTTACATAGTGACTCTGATTTGAGCTTTCTAAGAGCATTTGCTCAGGGGAAGAAAAAGTATCCCATAATAGTTCCCAGGGCTCACAATGCCCTCTCAGGGCAGCTGTCCCACGGCAGAGAACTGAAGCGAAGCAGTGTCCCTCCTGACCCTCTCCCTTGCCCTGTTCTGTTTTTACTTGAAGCATTTCTAAACAACAAATGCAAAATCAGATTTGGGTATTAGAAACTAGATGACCACTCCAACTCAGGAGTGTGTGTCACTCGGTCCCTGGAACGGAGTGGAAGGAGCAGCCCTCATCTATGGGACACTGTGATGGAACCAAGGACCTCCATCAATGCCCCACGTGCACAGGGGCAGCGAGGTCTGCCAGGCTGTGAGGATCTGTCCCCTCAGGAAGGGGGTGCACAGAGGGAAGTCCACTGTGTGGTGGCACCGATCTTCTGATAACACAGAACTAGCTGGGGATTAACGTAGCTCAACGACAAGCAGATTTTTAACCATATTTGTGGGGCACATTAATATTCAACAGTTTGAAATTCATGTATGCTGCAAAACTGTGGCAAACTACAGCCTTAAACCCACGAAGCCTTCCTTGGGGGGGTGCATAATTTGCAAAGTGCCGAGTGAATTATGAATAATCTCCTGTACCCCGAGGTCTGTCCTCGGCACCCCGATACCTCTCCATTATGCATTCTTTTCCAGGGCACCTGACTAGGGCATTCCTGTCTTATGGAGGTTCTCACTTCTTCTTTTTTTTTAAAGCAGCAAGAAATTATGATTCAAGGATCTGAAACCCTAATGTTACAGGCAAAGCCTCATTTTTACGGAATATAAAACACTCTGTTTCCTCCACTTCCAAGAGCTCGTCGAGAGAGGCCACTACTAAGTCGTGCTCCTGTAGCATTTCTGGGTAGCGGGACACTGCTCGCTCGATCCTCGCTGAGCGTCGTACCGGAGTGATAAGCTTCATGTCTTGCACTTCTGCCATTCCACTTACTCTGAGAGACAGCAAGAGATGCATTCAAGACCTTATAACTTAAAGAGTTACTATTGTGTTTCTTATTCCATAACAAAACATGACAGATATTTCAACATAGCTTGGTACAGAGACATGTCTAGAGCAGCTCACGCCCTAAATTGGCTTTTCCCGATTTCCAGAATGTACCGAGTGGTGGTCATCTGCTCTTGCATGGTGTATGCCTAAAGATGTGATGAATGAAGTCTAAAGTGTGGCTTTTATTTGAAGCCATCTACTTGGCAGTTGGTATTTGTTTACTCCATAAACTTTCAAAAGAGTTGACAGGTTAAGGAAATTGTGCCTAACACCAAATTTGGACGACCAAATAAATTCCAAGATTCTTTCTAGCTTTGACAGTGAATTACTCAGAAGACACCTTTGAGACGGTGGGCCACACTACAGTAAGCTGGGCCTCTCCCTTGGAAACGTGTAAATGCACCTCAGTACAAAGTAGCTGGAGGATGGGATGCACGTGGTGCTCACGTAGCGGATCCAGCTCAGGGCTCACACAACCACTCATCATCCTAGTCAAGCAAAACCAGCTCGAAAGCAGTCTGGGGACATTTGGGGATCACCTGCCTGCTTTCATCTACTCATGAGCTGTCTGGAGCAGGGAAATGAGACGTCTGAGAGGAGGTGAGGGCTGGAAGAAGCCTAGCTACGCTGTCCAGGGAACTCCAGCACAGAACTGTTGTCCGGGTGCTCTTTTGTTTCCAATTCTCCTTTCAGGATATCAGTAGAGAAGAGTGATGCTGCATTCACATTTTAGAAAAGAACACTGGCCGGTGCTGCGGCTCACTAGGCTAATCCTCCGCCTTGCGGCGCCGGCATACCGGGTTCTAGTCCAGGTCGGGGCGCCGGATTCTGTCCCGGTTGCCCCTCTTCCAGGCCAGCTCTCTGCTGTGGCCCGGGAGTGCAGTGGAGGATGGCCCAAGTGCTTGGGCCCTGCACCCCATGGGAGACCAGGAGAAGCACCTGGCTCCTGCCATTGGATCAGCGCGGTGCGCTGGCCGCAGCACACTGGCTACGGCAGCCATTGGAGGGTGAACCAACGGCAAAGGAAGACCTTTCTCTCTGTCTCTCTCTCTCACTGTCCACTCTGCCTGTCCAAAAAATAATAATAAAAAAAAAAAAAAAAAAAAAAAAAGAAAAGAACACTGCCACCTGACATAGCTCTTGAAATGACTAGGGGTTCTGCCTCAAACTTGCTCTTGTTAACAAAACAAAACTCTGTGATATTCTGAGCAGTCCCTGTTCCGATAGGGCTATTCACTGTCCCTTCTCTCCCACACCTCCAGAGGGGAACTCTGGGCAGAGACTGGCAGAGCAGGTGGACAGGACCTGCAAGAGCAGGGCAAATGGGAGGGGAGAAGTAGGACCCGTTCCCTGGGGAGGAGAGTGGAGCCCTTTCTCCTCTCCTCTTGGCTCCAGCAGTGGCTTCCTCACTGCAGGCCAGGCCTCATCAGTGTAGCTGTGAGGGGACCATGTGTATAAAGAGCAAAGACACGGACTGCCCCATCAGTGATCTAACCTCCCCTGCTCTCAGCTCCTGCCTGAATGCTCAAGACCTTACCTGAAGCAGAAGTATCTACGAATTTACTTGGACTTGTGGGGAAGAAACTGAGAACCTGACTAGAATCAGGTCTGAACACATAGCCTGCTTTAGACTTTGCTTACCTAGGAATTGAGGCGATCTGTAATTTGATACCAGGATAATTATCCTGTTCTGCCTTGCTCATGCTGGGTGTCGCTGTAACCTGCTCCTTCTCTTTCAGAGAAAGACAAAACTGTCCAGATTCCATCTTGTTGGCCAGCTCTTCCACCGAGGTTGTATTAGTTTCAGTGACTAAAGGGTCAGAAGTAACTCCTGTGCAAGGTCAGGGAGGAAAGTAAGATTTAACAATTTAATACGCAACTAAAAATCAGTAAAATGGAAGGTAAACATATAATGATTTCTCAGTGATCCTCATGGACTCCATACACTAAACAAACAGTGTTGATCTGAAGTGGGACTTACATCTTGCTTTTCTTGCTAAGCCTGTGGCAAAGCCCTGTGGCATCAGGCCACACCCCCCAACCAGGCCTTTGGACAGTCTTGGGCCTCCTTGCCATTTGCAGATGGCTCCTTGCTACCTTTTCCACACTCTGAACACACTCCCAGTCTTTTACTCACAGGACAGTGCTATTAGGAGCCAGTCACTGTCCTACTCCAACACCACACTGTGGATCAATTTTCTTTCTTTCTTTTTTTTTTTTTTAAGATTTTATTTATATATTTATTTGAGAGGTAGAGTTACAGACAGTGAGAGAGAGACAGAGAGAAAGGTCTTCCTTCTGTTGGTTCACTCCCCAAATGGCTGCAACGGCCAGAGCTGTGCCAATCCAAAGCCAGGAGCCACTTCCTGGTCTCCCATGTAGGTACAGGGGCCCCAGGACTTGGGCCATATTCTACTTTTTCCCCAGATCATAGCAGAGAGCTGGAGTGGAAGAGGAGCAGCCGGGTCTCGAATTGGCGCCCATATGGCATGCCGGCGCCGCAGGCGGAGGATTAACCTACTGTGCCACTGCAACGGCCCCCAGATCAATTTTCTTGACTCATTAATTTTCTCAGTGTCCTGACGCCCTCCTACCAGGATTAACCACATGGCCATTCCCTTCACCGTGAAAACATCTTACATCCACACAATTTTAATGTTAGACCAGCTACGGCTGTCAGAACGAAAAGGAGGAAGGTAGACAACAGGCAGACACTGACTGAGCCTAGGGTCTGACACCCTAAGAGAGGTCAGGAGGGCCAACAAATGGCAAAGGCATGGATTCTGTTTTCTTCCATCCTTTTGAAGAACACTGCCAATATTATAACCAGATATCTGGAATGGAGTATTGCCTCCAGCAAGAGTCTACCACTGAGTATTCCTACTATGAATTTATTCCCTCAAGTAGTGGATTACTTAGCTGTAATTCTATGAGACATGAGTGTTCCCCAGTTTTTTTTTTTTTTTTTTTTTTTTTAACATATATTTATTTATTTGAGAGGTAGAGTTTGAGAGAGAAAGAGAAAGAGAGAGGTCTTCCATCTGCTGGCTCACTCTCCAAATGGCCACAACAGTTGGAGCTGGGCTGATCTGAAGCCAGGAGCTTCCTCTTGATCGCCCATGTAGGTGCAGAAGCCCAAGCCCACCACTGCTTTCCCAGGCAATCAGCAGAGAGCTGGATTGAAGAGGAAGAGCTGGAACACAAATCGGAACTGTAGGTGGAGGCTTAGACTACTATGCCACAGTGCTGGCCCCTAAACCTATTCTTTTTTTTTAATTATTAGATTATTTGTATTTATTAACAAACAACAACTGTACACACTTATGGGGTACAATGTAATATTTTGATACATATATACATTTTAATGACCAAATTAGGATAGTTAGCATCCATCGCTTCATATATTCAAGATTTCTTTGTAGTGTGAACATTAAAAAGTTTTTCTTCTAGCTATTTAGAAAAATACAATATGCTATTGTTAACTACTGTTCTCCACTGTGCAACAGAACACCAAAAGGATATTTTTACAATAAGGAAAAAAAGTACTTTTTAATTCAATAAAAATAAATCTTTCTGAGGTTTAATTTATATATATATATTTTGAGAAACTTAACTTCAAAGAAGAATCCAAGAATGGTATGTCTTTTGCGAGCACTTAGACATTACTATAGCTTATGAGGCATAAAAAATATCCTCCACTTAATACACTATAATGAGGTAAATCTTTGTGAACAAGTTTTACTATTGACTCTCATAATCCAACTCTTTGAGGACAGAGGTTCTGCATGGGGAGTTAGTGCACAGTGACTCCTGTTGTTAATTTAACAATTAATACTCTTATGTATGATGTCAGTGATCACCTGAGGCTCTTGACATGAGCTGTCTAGGCTATGGAAGCCTTTTGAATACACAAACTCCTTCTGTACTTAGACAAGGCTATAAGCAAAGTGGAAGTTCTCCCCTCCCTTCAGAGAAAAGTACATCCTTCTTTGATGACCACTTCTTTCCACTGGGGTCTCACTCACAGAGGTCCTTCATGTAGGATACTTTTTGCCTCAGTGTAAATCTATTCTTAAAGGAAAAGATTTGTCACCTTCTAAGACAAAAGGAGAACCCACTTTCTTTTCTAAAATGTTGGTGGGTTTGTTATAAACAAACACGTAACTTAAATCAAAGCATTTGTTCCTTTTAGCCTCCGTCTCTTAAGAGCCATTTGTCTTTTCCTGTCTAGGACTTCAGGGAAACGGGACACTCTAGTCTGGGCCACTCTGGTGGAGAGCATCTTTCTTCAGCGTTGAGCAGCATATCTACTTTCAGTAACAGCAGTAAACCAGCTAAGGTGAAGGCTGCAAGGGCGAGGCTATGAGAGTCAAGATAAGAGACACATTTCAGGGGACTTAAAATTCTTCTTCTTGCCCTATGTGTTCCTGGAAGATTTTTGCTTAGATAGCTGGGGGAATGAATTTAAATACAAAAGCAACAATACCTTCTGTAGTTCTTTTTGAGTCTTGCAAAATATTAAGGACAACTTCTCGCAGCTCTTGTATTGGCTGGAAGAAAATATATGAAAGAACATTCATGGAAACTATAAATGTTTATAACACCAATGTTTTGTTTTTTAATCTCTTTCTAGGTATAAATAACACTAAAAAAGTTTCAGTTTTGTAGTGTCATGAGAAAAATGAAGGAACAGAGAAAACGCTGGGTAAGTTTTGGCATTCTTGACTTTAATGAAGAGATGTGCTTAAAATCGCCTAAGATGAAATTTGTCTAAATTAGATTCCATTTTCCTATTAACTTGTGTGAAACCATTGATGATGTATTTTCACATAAAGATTCTGGCCCAAAAATATAATGCTAGCCAAATAGAAAACGCAGCACGAATTGTTACTTTTATCTTAATCTTTTTCTAAAAAGTTTTTTTTTTTTTTTTAAATTTTAAATTTACTTGAAAGTCAAAGTTATAGAGAGAGGAGGCAGAGAATCTTCCATTTACTGGCTCATTCCTGAAATGGCTGCAACAGCCAGGGCTAGGCCAGGCTGAAGCCAGGAGCCTGGAGCTTCTTCCTGGTGCAGGGGCCCAAGCACTTGTGCCAACTTCCACGGCTTTTCCAGGTACATTAACAAGGAGCTGGATTAGAAGTGGAGAGCTAGGACTCAAACCGGCGCCCATATGGTATGCCAGCATTGCAGAAGGAGGCTTAACCTGTTACACCACAACGCCGGTCCCTAATCTTTGTTTTAATCATAAAAATCTCATTACGGAAAAACAGAACAAGTTAACCTGAACAAAGGAAGTTACCCATTTTTCTGTCAGTCAAATATAATCCTTGTTAGCATTTTGGGCAATTTGCCCAAGCCTTTCTTCTTTTATTTGGTAATATAACATAAAAAAAAGATCTTTAGAGAAAAGTGATTTTGTGATAAAATTATCTGAAGTAGCCTTCATTTTTCAAAGTAAAAAACCACGCCATGATGTAGAACATCACAAAGGGAACTGTACTTTTCCATGGGAGGGGAGGAAGGAAGAGGCCTTACTGAAGGAAACTTGTCAAACAACTTGACTGCTTAAACAGTGTGTGTGTGTAACCCTGAGTGTGAGTACAGAAACAGGTACTGGAAAATATGGAGTATGACATGGAAAATGACATTGAAGTAAAAAGAATGTAAAACTATTTGATGCAATCTGTGTAAAATAATAAAGTGTTTTTTCCTAGGTTTTAGAGTTAAATGCTATTTCATGCAGTGGCTCTGAGGGATTAATTTATGGACACTGATGTGTTGTTTAATATACATTTGAGTTGGTAAGGTTCTTACTAAGTATTGGAAATTGATGTAATAACTTTGTATGCTATTATTTTCCAGGACTGCATTTTTCTATAACTAGTGTTGAGACAGTCACTTGATTTGAAGATTGGTTATACCAGTTTACATGTAACATGGCTTTCTATGAAATAGATAATTAAAATGTTCAGAAAAGGGTCTGTCATTGTGGCATAGCAGGTTAAGCTGCTGTCTGTGATGTTGGCATCCCATATGGGTGCTGGTTCAAGTCCCAAGTGCTCCACTTCCAATCCATCTCCCTGCTTATGTGCCTGGGAGAGCAGCAGCAGATGGTCCAGGTTCCTGGGCCCTGGCACCTATATGGGAGACCTGGACAAAGATTTTGGCTCCTGGCTTCGGGCTGGCCTACCTCCTATTGTTGTGGCTATTTGGCGAGTGAACCAGTGGATGGAAGATCTTTCTCTGTTTATCTCTCTGTAACTCTGCCTTTCAAATAAAATAAATCTTTTAAAAAAAAGTTCAGAGACATATTCTCTGTATAACTTTATGAAGTGAATTAGAAATTGATATTATATAACTACCACATTTGCAAACAGAGAACCCATATTAAAGAGAATTTTTTTAAGTCATTCACTCAAAACAATACTCACTGTTGCCCCATTCTTAATGGCCTCTTCATATAGCCCAATAACATCAAAGGTGCCTTTACTTGCCAACAACTTTGCTTTGCAGATCCAGAATTTAGCAAATTTTTCAGCCTCAGGAATGCTGGACAGTATGGCAAGTATTTCATCAGAAAGTGTACCCTGGAGAAAAGAAAATACTCAATGGTAAACGTAATCATTTTATTTTTACTGTTCCATCTCTTAATATGTCTCACTGTAGGTTAGCAGAAATCAGTTTGATCACTATTTTTGAACTTCAAAAAATTCCAATTTTACCAAAGCATAATGTACATAAAATAAAATGTGCCATTATTTTAGCAATCAATGAGTTTTTCCACTGAGCTTTAAAGTTTAAGTGTTGGGGCCAGCATTGTGGTGTAGCGGGTAAAGGCACTGCCTGTAGTGCTGGCATCCCATATGGGTGCTGGTTTGAGTCCCAGCTGCTCCACCTCTGAGCCAGCTCTCTGCTATGGCCTGGGAAAGCAGTAGAAGATGGCCTGAGTCCTTGGGCCTCTGCACCCATGTGGCAGACCTAGAAGAAGCTCCTGGTCCTGGCTTCAGATTGGCACAGCTCTGGCCTTTGCGGCCATCTGGGGAGTGAATCAGCAGATAGAAGACTCACTTTCTCTCTGCCTCTGTCTCTGTCTCTCTTTAATTCTGCCTTTCAAATAAATAAATAAATCTTTAAAAAAAAAGGAAAACAACAACAAAAAAATAAAGTTTAAGTATTACATGAGACAAGACAGAAAAACATAGCTGAAAGGTAAAGAGTAGGTTTTATATTCTTCTGTGGTGCTAAAATAAATATGACACCAACCTTAGGACAACCAATATTTCATACATATTTATATCACTAACAGAACACATTTACAATAACTGAACACTGAGTAGTGGCCAGAACTTCCATATGACTTCTAACAGTAGACTTCTAGCAGTAGAAAGGCTGGGGTGCATGTGTGTGTACTGGGGATTCCTACAGGTGTATGTAGGAAAGAGGAGGTTTGAAATAGTTTCACTGGTTTGTCCCCTTCTAGTTTGTGTCCAGAGCAGGGTCAGGGCATGGACCAGGAAGAAGGGGGAACTACACTGAATAGAAACCCAGTGGGCCAGTGCTGTGGTGCAGCACGTTAACGCCCTGGCCTAAAGTGCTGGCATCCCATATGGGTGCCGGTTCAAGACCCAGCTGGCTCCTTTTCTGATCCAGCTCTCTGCTATGGCCTGGGAAAGCAGTAGAAGATGGCCCAAGTCCTTGGGCCCCTGCACCCACGTGGGAGACCCGGAAAAAGCTCCTGGCTTTGGATCGGCGCAGCTCCAACTGGGGAGTGAGCCAGTGGATGGAAGACCTCTCTCTCTCTCTCTTCTTCTCCTCTCTCTGTGTAACTCTGACTTTCAAATATATAAATAAATCTTAAAAAAAAAAAAACAAACAAACAAACAAAAAACAAACCCAAGTACTGGCACTCTTAACCTTCTGCTTCTCTAGAGATGGGAAAACACAAAGCTTAGTTCTCGGTTGAGAATCATCAATGTTTGAGAAAGCTGACACTACATCAAAGAGGTATAAAGTAAACAAGAATTAACACCAGAGAAACGTTAAGAGTACCAAAGTCAGTATCTTCAGAATGATAGAGAGTATTGCTATCATAAAACAAGAACAGGCAGTTACAAAAAAGAACCAACAGAAGGGCGGGGCAGGGATGCTATCGAAGAATAAATCAAGGTGGGATTCTCCCAGAATCCAGTGCAATAGAACCAAGAAACGAAGTGCATGAAAGAGATATTTAGATTTCTAGAGGACATATCTATTGCTCAGTAATTCCAAATTCCATCAACGAGGATTTCTAGAAAGAAAAATAGTACAAAGCTGAATACATATTCAAAGCAGTTGCAGAAGACAAATTTTAAGAACTGAACAGACACAACTGTTCTGACTGAAAGGCTCTCAGAAAATCAGGATAAATCGACATTAGGACTATATTTAGGAAGCCAAAGATGACAAGGAAACCTCAAAAACTTCCAAAGAAGTTAAAAAATTATTACCTATAGAGGAATGAGAATCAGATTAGCAAGAGACTTTAATAAATCATAGAAAATGAAGCTCTAACTTCACATTTTTTCAGGGAAAAAAATTTTTTTTTTTTTTTTTTTTTTTTTTTTTGACAGGCAGAGTGGACAGTGAGAGAGAGAGACAGAGAGAGAAACGTCTTCCTTTGCCGCTGGTTCACCCTCCAATGGCCGCCGCTGCAGCCGGCGCACCGCGCTGATCCTGGCAGGAGCCAGGAGCCAGGTGCTTTTCCTGGTCTCCCATGGGGTGCAGGGCCCAAGCACCTGGGCCATCCTCCACTGCACTCCCTGGCCATAGCAGAGAGCTGGCCTGGAAGAGGGGCAACCGGGACAGAATCCGGCGCCCCAACCGGGACTAGAACCCGGTTTGCCGGCGCCGCAAGGTGGAGGATTAGCCTATTGAGCCACGGCGCCGGCTGGGAAAAAAATTTGAAATTAGAAATTTTTCTCAGCCAAATTACGATTCTAGTATGGGAGCAAAATAATGACCTTTACATAGGCACAAGCACTCAGAATGTTAACTACTCAAAACCTGGAAGTCACTGGAGTAAACTTTAGAATCCAGGTAGAAGACTTGACACAAAAGTAACAGAGAGAAGACTGTGACATAAGGATTGGGAGCTACGCCTTTGTGTGAACTGACACTTATCAATTTTATTTTCTGATTTAAATTTATTATTTTCTTTGTGAAACAAAGAAGACTATCAAACACAAATAAAGGCAAATAAACTAAAAAGAACTCATATAAACGGAATTACAAAATAAAATCGCAGATATAATTTTTTTTTTAAATTTATTATTTTTTGACAGGCAGAGTTAGACAGTGAGAAAGAGAGAGACAGAGAGAAAGGTCTTCCTTCCGTTGGTTCACCCTCCAAGTGGCTGCTATGGCCGGCACGCTGCGCTGATCTGAAGCCAGGAGCCAGGTGCTTCTTCCTGGTCTCCCATGCGAGTGCAGGGCCCAAGCACTTGGGCCATCCTCCACTGCCTTCCTGGGCCACAGCAGAGAGCTGGACTGGAAGAGGAGCAACCGGGACAGAATCCGGTGCCCCAACCGGGACTAGAACCCGGGGTGCTGGCGCCGCATGCAGAGGATTAGCCAAGTGAGCTGCGGCACTGGCTAACAGGTATAAATTTAAACATGGGTAATCACAATAAATGTTTAAGGGTTCAATCTGCATTGTAAAAACAGAGTTTCATATTTAAAGAAATTCAACGATATGCATTCATATGAGACATTTTTGAAATCAATCCAGGAAGATTTAAAGATAAAGAGATAGACACATGGAAGACCCAGATGAAGCTCCTGGCACCTGGCTCCTGGCTTTGGCCTGGCACAGCCCTGGCTATTGTGGTCATTTAGGGAGTGAACCAGCCGTTGGAAGATCTCTGTCAAATCTGGGTTTCAAATCAATTAATCAATCAAAAAAAGGGGGGGGGGGAAGGATGGAAAAACATCTATTGGACAAATCCTAACAACAAAAAAGCAGGATGGAAGCACTAACAGCAGACAAAGAAAAATCAAAGTAAGTCATGAATCTTTAAGTACCCAAAAATCGAGGCTTGAAAATGGAAGAAAGAGTTGACAGAGCAGGTGTACAGCAGTGGGTTTTCTGCTTTGGATCCAGCTTCCTGTTAATGTGTCTGAGAAGGCAGTGGAAGATGGTCCAAGTGGCCACTTACTTGGGAGAACAAGGAGTTCCTGGCTTCTGGCTTTGGCCCAGTCCCAGCTGTTGTGGCCATTTGGGAAGTCAACCAGTAGATGGAAGATCTCTCTGTCTTTCCCTTTCTATTACCCTTCCTTCCTTCCTTTTATTTATTTATTTATTTTTTTAAAGATTTTATTTAACTTTTTGAGAGTTAGAGTTACAGAGAGATGATGGAGAGTCAGACAGAGAAGTTTTCTATCTGCTGGTTCATTCTGTAAATGGCCACAATGGCTAGAGCTAGGCCAACCTGAAGCCAGGAGCCAGGAGCCAGGAGTTTCTTCCAGGTCTCCAATGTGGGTGCAGGAGCCCAAGCATTTGGGCCATCTTCTCCTGTTTTCCCAGGCTATAAGCAGAGAGCTGGATCAGAAGAGGAGCAGCCAGGACATGAAATGGTGCCCATATGGGATGCTGGCGCCACAGCCTACTATGCCACAGCGCTGGCCCCGTTACTCTGTCTTTCAAATATATGCATACATACATATACACGTATATAAATGTTTTTAAAAGTAAAAGTTGACAGAAATACAAAGAGAAATTGTCAATGACTAACTACAATGCCAGAGAAATGCTGGCATTATTTCGTACAGAAAGTAACAGATCAAGTAAACAAAAAGAACACATTCCTTTCAAACATTTTTGGAACATTTATGAAGAATAATCAGACATTAAAATCACAAAGAAAATTTAAAAAATTCCATCAAGCAGAATACATATGGGATGAACTCACCAACCACAATGCAATGTAATTAGAAATTAACATAAAGGTAGTAAGAAAAAAATTCTAGAAATATGGAAATTAAAAGATACTCTTCTAAGATAACTTTTGGGTTAAAGAAGAGTTCAAGATGGAAATCTTAAAACTATTTGCACATGCAGATTATTAAGCTATCGTCTCTGCTCCAAACCCACTTCCTTCCCTGTGCTTCGTGAGCTGGGGCTGGGATTCTGTACCACTTTCTGCTTCACAGCTGCCTGCTGGGCTGTCAGTATGGGGCACTGGAGGGGGAATGTGGGATGGAGGTCTTCCTATTTGCTCTCACCCCAGCAATGGCCATCTCTCACCAGCAGCAGCAGTCGGGACTGCCTCCACCTTTCTTCTCCCCTTCACAGATCCTCCCTCACTGTGCTCCTTAGAGGCAGCCCTTTCCCAAAGCCAGAGTCCCAGCTCCACAGGGGCCCTCTTCCAGCTCCCATGGTACCAACATCTGCAGGGTAGGATGCCCTCCTTTTTTTTTTTTTTTTTTTTGACAGGCAGAGTGGACAGTGAGAGAGAGAGACAAAGAGAAAGTTCTTTCTTTTTGCCATTGGTTCACCCTCCAATGGCCACCGCGGCCGGTGCGTTACGGCCGGCGCATCACGCTGATCCGAAGCCAGGAGTTTCTCCTGGTCTCCCATGGGGTACAGGACCAAAGGACTTGGGCCATCCTCCACTGCACTCCCGGGCCAAGCAGAGAGCTGGCCTGGAAGAGGGGCAACTGGGACAGAATCCAGCGCCCCGACTGGGACTAGAACCCAGTGTGCCGGCGCCGCAAGGTGGAGGATTAGCCTAGTGAGCCGCGGCGCCGGCCAGGATGCCTTCCTAAGAGTCGCAGCTCCTCAGGGTTTTCTCTCCCGGTGTGATATTGTGAAATATATAAACTTGGTCCTCAGTTTTCCTGGTATACAACCCTTAAGATTCTTGGAATGTCCAAGAGCTTCCAGGTAGTGGAGTGTGGCAAGTTTTCTGGAGAGAGCATGAAATTGAGTCCCTTCCCACATGCCTTGCCCTGTGCCTCTCTATCTCTATCCTTCATAACACCCTTTCTGATAAACTGGTGAATCTAAGTCAGTGTTTCCTTGAGCTCCCTGAACTGCTTTAGCAAATTAGTTGAGTCAGAGAGGAGGTCACGGGAACCCTGATGGATAGCCAGTCAGTCAGAGGTACAGGTCAAACCACCTGGGGCTTGCAGCCCTTGCTGAAGAGGGTGAAATTCCTTTTGGATCCCTCTGGAGCCAGCCTGATTGGGTAGTTTATCAACTTTTCTGGGGCTGTTTCATTTGTAAAGTGGGCAAAGTAACAGTTGTGATAATGACATAAGTCAAGGGTTTCTAAAAATACCTGCAAACAAGAGCCACATTCCATTGCATGTCATAATTATTATTGCTATTAGTATTTCAGGTCTATATTAGAAAGTGGGTAAATTGTGTTTAGATGTAGGCTTTGCCCCCTATACTATATTTAAGAAAAATGTTTAAAAACCTCAAGACTGGGTCAAAGCTCTGGGAACTGGCTTCTCTCACTTACCTCCTCAATGAGCTGCAGACATTCTGTCAGAGTTTTGTTGATTTTACTGGACAGCTCAAATTGAGCTTTCTTTTCTTCCTCTTCTTTTTCAATGCTCTTCCAGAAAGAAATATTCATTTCCTCTATTATTTTTCTTTTTGTTTTAAGTTCCATAGGAGGTCGCTTATAGATCTTCCCCTTAGATTTCTGCCATTCTTCTAGTTGTTTCCTGTTATGCAATACAGGGGAGGAGGTGTGGTTTAATTTTTTTTTTTTGGTTAACATGGTCAAGTTTCTAAAATATATGATGTGCACAGACTGAGTATGACTAATACCTTCAAAGTCAGGAGGATGGAATAAAACACAATTTACAAGTGTATAATGGCAGCGATAACCAGGATTGTAGGTGGCCAGAACTTCAGTCTTCAAATATCTTGACTAGGTGATTATTCTTCATTATTTTTCTCTAAAAGCTTTTATTTCACTAAATACTACCTCTAACACTTGCTTTCCTAAGAAAAATCCTCCGTCTCCAAAGTCACTAAGTCAGCATTCCATTTCTCCCATCAAAGCCTTCTGTCACCCCATCCAGACTCAGCAAACCTGCATTTTGCCCTCAGTAGGGTCTTGGTGCTCAAAGTGACCCACTTTCCTTAATTTCATAGTCCTCTCGAGCCTACAAGATCCCCTTTCTTTCACAAACTAGGTCAATAATTTCAGGGTTCTTTTCTGAAGTACCTGGTCTCTGATGGTGCCAAACCCCAAACTTCCTCCGCCACTAGTCACATTTTGTACTCACTCCTGATTCTCTGTTTCCACTTTAATCAAATTCACTCTGTGCAGTAGAGTGTCTCTATTATTTAAACCAGATTGTGTCATTGTCAAGGACTTCCCAAGGCTCTTGGATAAAATTCAAAATGTTTCCCATGACTGAAAGTTGCCGTATAATTTGGCTCCTGCTGACCTTGTCCACCTCCTGTCATGCCACTCTCTACGTGCCAGGAGCTCAGGCATCGTTTCTTTTTCTTTTTCTTTCTTTCTTTTTTTTTTTTTTTGACAGGCAGAGTGGACAGTGAGAGAGAGAGAGAGAGAAAGGTCTTCCTTTTTGCTGTTGGTTCACCCTCCAATAGCAGCTGCGGCCGGCACACTGTGGCGGGTGCACTGTGCTGATCCGAAGGCAGGAGCCAGGTGCTTCTCCTGGTCTCCCATGGGGTGCAGGGCCCAAGCACTTGGGCCATCCTCCACTGCACTCCTGGGCCACAGCAGAGAGCTGGCCTGGAAGAGGGGCAACCGGGACAGAATCCGGCGCCCCCAACTGGGACTAGAACCCGGTGTGCCAGCGCCGCTAGGCGGAGGATTAGGCTATTGAGCCGCGGCGCTGGCCATTTCTGTTTCTTGCCAAGTTTGTTCTTGCCTCAAGCTCTTGCAGTCTAAGTCCTCTGCTCAAATCCTATCTCCCTGAAGAGTAATCACCCCATCTGATTTAATCAATGTGTTGATTTTGTCTTTTCCACTAGAATGCAAGCTGCGTGAAGGCTGAAACCTTGGCTGTCCGGTGCCTCACCTTCGCTCTAACCACCTACTTAATGATAAAAGTTGAGATATCTGACATGTATTTCCTCCACATTTCTGCCTTTCTATCTCCTTAGCATTTCTTCTGGTCAAAAACAGATTTTCCTTTTCTAAAGCCAACTTACTCCTAAGGCCTCAATGCCATGACTTTATATTAATTCTTTTTACATACACCCCAAACAGTAAGCCCCACAGGGGTAGAGACTGTGCTCACCACTGTACTTCCTAATGCACAACACATTGCAAGTTCTGAGGGAACACTCAGGGAATGAGTGAATGAACGTATCCCTTCCCACAGACTATCCCTTTTGTAAACAAACATGTTCAACATGTGACACACTGACTTATGACCAGTCCTCTGTGGTCTCATCCAGACCGTGAGCCCTGAGCAGGGCCTGGCTTCCTCCCTCACCAGCTTAGGGTCTTGCACGCACTTTTCTTTGTACTCAGAAGGCTTGTCTTCCTTCTTGTCACCTACCTTAGGTCTTAGCTCAGGTGTCACCATTCAAAGTACCTTTCCTGATCTTTCTACATAAAGAAACCACCATAGCCTATGTTCTTGATCATGTCACTTTGGATTATTTTCTGTCTCTTCAGGAGAGCAAAATGCTCATCGCTGGTGGTTAGGGCTTCGCCCTACTATATCCCTTAGGTCCCACATACTCCTTTCAGCCTTACCAGGGTTCTTCTTATTTTCTATTCCAACCAGGTATACATAACTAACCTCCAGCAAGCTGACTTCCTAATCTCTCTGAACTCTACATATGAGTTACTGTTCCTCTCTGCTGTAGCTTACTTTCCAAAACTTGGCCCACCCACACCCATGCCAGCGTTGTGGCATGGCAGGTGAAGCTGCCATCTGTGACGCCAGCATCCCATAATGGATGCTCCACTCCTGATCCAGCTCCCTGCTAATGGCCTGGGAAAAGCTGTGGAGGATGGCCCAAGTGTTTGGACCCCTGCCATCCATGTGGGAGACCTGGAGGAGGCTCTGGCTCCTGGCTTCAGCCTGGCCCAACCTTGGCTGTTGTGGCAATCTGGGAGTGAACCAGTAGATGGAAGATCTCTCTCTTTCTAACTCTTTCAAATAAATAAATATATCCTTATGTAAAAAAACTAAAAACCAAAAAAACTTTTCTGGGCTAAAAATCACTGGTCTGCTTGACAAGAGACTCCATCTTCCTACTTCCTTGCACTGTGGACTCACTACTCTGGCTCCTTCTAAGCTGCCCAATTCTGACCTTACTTGATGTTTGGATGTCTGTTATGTTCTTCCTGAACAAAACTGAGGTATGTCCTGGGTTTATGCTTTGCTTTCTGTTCAGTAACAGGGTATGACTATAACTTTTTGCTGCTGAGTCCTTGCAGGTACTTCTTCAATGAGCAGACTACATCTGCAACTCCTATTTCCTACTTATCCATTCTGTTTCAATTTCTTTAAAAAAAAAATAACTTCAAGGATACAGGAAATTACAGAGAAAGATTTGTAACACACACATAGACACCTGGCTCTATCAGGTCTTAATATTTGTTAAGTTTGCTTCAAATCTTTTTTTTTTAGGCCATAAGTAAAATGACTTATTTTTTTCAGGTCATAAGTAAAAATTACTTAGGAGCCATTATTTGTGGCCTATTTCCTGACCAAGTATTCTTTTTTTTTTTTTTTTTTTTTTTTGACAGGTAGAGTTATAGACAGTGAGAGAGTCAGAGAGAAAGGTTTTCCTTCTATTGGTTTACCTTCCAAAATGGCCGCTACGGCCGGAGCTACACTGATCAGGAGCCAGGTGCCTCCTCCTGGTCTCCCATGCGGGTGCAGGAACCCAAGTACCCAGGCCATCCTCCATTGCCCTCCCAGGCCACAGCAGAGAACTAGACTGGAAGAGGAGCAACCGGGACTAGAACCCAGCGCCCATATAAGATGCCGGCACCGCAGGCGGAGGATTAACCAAGTGAGCCACGGCACCGGCCCCCAAGTATTCTTAATGGCCAATTTGCCAAATCATCTTAAGTCAAAAAGATTTAGAATTAAAGCAAAGTACCTTCGACACTAACCCACTGTTGGTGGGAATGCAAACTGGGTAAGCCACTATGGAAGTCAGTCTGGAGATTCCTCAGAAACCTGAATATAACCCTACCATTCGACCCAGCCATCCCACTCCTTGGAATTTACCCAAAGAAAATTAAATTGGGAAATAAAAAAGCTGTTTGCACCTTAATGTTTATTGCAGCTCAATTCACAAGAGCTAAGACCTGGAATCAACCTAAATCCCCATCAACAGTAGATTGGATAAAGAAATTATAGGACATGTACTCTATAGAATACTATACAGCAGTAAAAAACAATGAAATCTGGTCATTTGCAACAAAATGGAGGAATCTGGAACACATCATGCTGAGTGAAATAAGCCAGTCCCAAAGGGACAAATATCATATGTTCTCCCTGATCGGTGACAACTAACTGAGCACCAAAAAGGAAACCTATTGAAGTGAAATGGACACTATGAGAAACAGTGACTTGATCAGCCCTTGTCCTGACTGTTGATGAACAACTTAATACTTTATCTTTTTTAGTATTTTTTTGTTCTACTTAATACTATTGGTTGAACTCTGTAATTAATACACAATTATTCTTAAATGTTGAAATTTAACTGAAAAGTGATCCCTGTTAAATATGAGTGGGAATAAGAGAGGGAGGAGATGTACAGTTTGGGACATGCTCAATTGGACTTGCCCCAAATGGTAGAGTTAGAAATGTGCCAGGGGATTCCAATTCAATCCCATCAAGGTGGTGTGTACCAATGCCATCTCACTAGTCCAAGTGATCAATTTCTGTTCACAATTGATCATAATAATAGGACTAAGAGTCAAAGGGATCATATAAACAAGACTAGTGTCTGCTAAACTAACTGATAGAATAAAAAAGGGAGAGAACAATCCAACATGGGAAGCGGGATACACAGCAGACTCATAGAATGGCAGATGTCCTAAACAGCACTCTGGCCTCAGAATCAGCCCTTAAGGCATTCGGCTATGGCTGAAGAGCCCATGAGAGTATTTTAGGCATGGAAAGCCAAGACACTCTGGCAAAAACAAAACAAAACAAAACAAAACAAAACAAAACAAAACAAAACAAAACAAAACCAAAAAAACCCAAACCTATATGAAAGATCTCTATGAGTGAGGTCCCAGTGGAAAGAACGGGTCATCAAAGAAGGAGGTACCTTCCTCTAAAAGGAGGAGAGAACTTCCACTTTGACTATGACCTTGTCTAAATAAGATCGGAGCTGGCGAATTCAAAAGGCTTCCATAGCCTTGGCAACTCATGACAAGAGCCTAGGGTGATTACTGACACCATAAACAAGAGTGTCAATTTGTTAAGTCAACAACAGGAGTCACTGTGCACTTACTCCTCATGTAGGATCTCTGTCCTTAACGTGTTGTACATTGTGATTTAATGTTATAACTAGTACTCAAACAGTATTTTATACTTTGTGTTTCTCTGTGGGTGCAAACTGTTGAAATCTTTACTTAATATATGCTAAATTGATCTTCTGTATATAAAGATAATTGAAAATGAATCTTGATGTGAATGGAAGAGGAGAGGGAGTGGAAGAGGAGAGGGTTGCGGGTGGGAGGGAAGTTATGGAGGGGGAAAAAGCCATTGTAATCCATAAACTGTACTTTGGAAATTTATATTCATTAAATAGAAGTTAAAAAAATTAACAAAGTACCTTCGATCTTCTGCTGTTGCCTTCTTTTTAATATTTGGATTAGTTTGAGCTCCAGTTAAGACTCTGCTGCTATTCGTGGCTGTGACTCCAGCTTGAGGTTTGGGAGCTGTCTTGCTCAGAAAACGGTTCTGAAGAGGAGCCCTTTTTAACTTGGAGTCCAAAGTCTGTGCTTTTTGTTGAAAACTGTTGCCATACTTATTGTCATTGGTTCTATTTGCTCTTAAGTTGGGGGTGCTTGGAATGACTGAATGAAAGCTGCGAATGGTCAGAGTAGGCTTCTGGTTTATTGCTTTCGTTTTTTGCAGTATGCATGATGTCTGGGGTCTAAAACAAGGCTGCGTGGATTTCTGCTCTTGCCTGATGCTCGTCTGTCTGTTACATACTCCCTGAACAACATTGGGGTATGTCTCGGGTTTGGTATGTTTTGCTTTCTGTTCAGTAAAGGGGTTTGACTGTAACTTAGCTTCACTTGGTCTTCCATGGTTACCCCTGTCAGCCTTTGTATCCTTGACCTCTGGCTTCTTCGATGCTTGGATCCTACTAAGGGTCTGAATACCATGAGTGGGAACTGTCCTCGAGGGTTTTCCTCCTGGCCTTACAGCATCTCCTCTAGAGAGCTGCTGTGATTTCACTGGTACAGTCCTGATTCGTGTTTCTCCTACAGTTTGTTTATTAACTCTGTCCTTCAGAACTGTGCTATTCACCGAACTTTTCCCCACAGCCTTTTTAGGAGCAAAACTGTTCTTGGTTTGATTATAACAGTTAGTTTTTGCCTTACTTACAATACTTAATTCAGGATCTGGTTTCCTCTGAGGTTCTGATAAAGTTTGGGGCAAGTTCTCTTTGTTTCTCTCTTTCAGAACCCTATCTGAAGATTCCTTTTCAACATGGGTGTTGTCCACAGAGTCTGTACATTTAGCATGTCCTTGATCGGTCACCTGCTGCTCTGTGGGTTCCAGCTGCTGTATATTAAGTGACCCCTCTGGTTGTCCTGACAGTTCTGCTGTGGATGGTCTGGCTTCATGCTGCTGGTGACTCTTACCAGGAGGCTGACAGCTTGCGTTAGAAGAAACACATCCTGAAGTCAGTCTTTTGCCCAGAAGTTTGGGTGGCTCCAATTTTGGCTTCTGGGACCTTGTGATATTGTCTGGTCTGGGTTGTAGTTTAGTGCTGATGGGCCTTGAAGTTTTGATAGGCAAAGCAACATGGCTGGTAACATTCTTTGTGGGTCTAAGAGTCTAAAAAGACAAAGAAATAAATTGAAAAAAAAAAAAAAAGCATAATAGTTGTTTTTAAAACAAGGCTAAAATAACTTTCAAAACACATACTAGATGGGTCGGCACTATCGTGTAGTAGCTCAAGCTGCAGCCTGAGGCACCAGCAATCCGTATGGGTGCTGGTTCGAGTCCTGGCTGCTCCATTTCTGATCTAGCTCCCTACAAATGTGCCTGGGAAAGCAGTAGAAGATGGCCCAAGTGCTTGGGTCCCTGCACCCACGTGGGAGACCTGGAAGAAGCTCCTGGTTCCTGGCTTCGGATTGGCCCAGCCCTGGCCGTTGTGGCCATTTGCAAAGTGAATCCGTGGATGGAAGCTCTCTGTCTGTGTAACTCTGTCTTTCAAATAAATAAATCTTTTAAAAAAACCAAACAAAAATACATGCTAGAAAAAATTATTTTATGTAGAATTTCACTTAAGGAAGATGAATCCTGAAGAAGTAAAGAAGTACTATTAGGTGGTTTTCATAACTTGAGTTCCTATAGAAATATATCAGAATCTTTGACAGATTGAGCAGATCTGTCAATATATAAAGTAATATATAAATATATATTATTATATAATATATTGTATATTATATAATATATAACATATCATATCATATTATATAATATGATATATTATATATTATTATATATTATGTATATATAATATTTAAAGATTTCTATTTAAAAAATGAATTTGGGGACTGGCGCTGTAGCATAGCGGGTAAAGCCGCTGCCTGCAGTGCCAGCATTCCATATGGACGCCAGTTTGAGTCCTGGCTGTTCCACTTCCAATCCAGCTCTCTGCTATGGCCTAGGAAAGCAGTGGAGGATGGCCCAAGTCCTTGGGCCCCTGCACCCATGTGGGAGACCCAGAAGAAGCTCCTGGCTTTGGATCAGCGCAGCTTCTGCTGTTGTAGCCAACTGGGGAGTGAACCAGAGGATGGAAGACCTCTCTCTCTTTCTCTCTCTGTCTCTCCTTTTTCTGTGTAACTCTGATTTTCAAATAAACAAACCTTTAAAAACATGAATCTACCTCAATTTAATAGTATTTGCTGAGTGCCCATATGTCCCAACCAAATGTCCTCCTAGTGACCCCTTATATTAGGGTACCTCCCAACAAATTCCTGCTAGTGTTTTATACAGCTAAAAATCCAGGGAGGTGGGACTAGGTTATAGCAAACTTTGAAAGCTCAGAATTGACATGGTAGATAACTGGGCAAGTCATTGTGGATTCTGGAGGACCCACAGTGAAAAAAATCATTTGGAAAGAATTTGGCAAAAACTTAAAGTATGTCTCCAGTTGGGCTTGGCAAGGTTGAGGCTGGAAGCTAGGAGCTAAAACCAGGTCCCTGGCAGGTATGGCAGGAACTCAACTACTTGAGCTATCGCCTGCTGTCTCCCAGGGTGTGTGTTAGCAGGAAGCTGGAACGAGGAGTGGAGCAGGGACTCAAACCCAGGAACTCTGACATGGGATGTGGGCATCCCAAACACTGTCCCAACCACTAGGCCAAATGCTGACCCCTTTCATTGTGGTTTTGATTTGTATTTCACAGATGGTTAATCACGTTGAGCACTTTTCATGCCTTGATTAGCCATTGATACATCTTTGGAGAAACATCTATTCAGATCCTTTGTCCATCTTTAAATTGCATCATTTGTCTTTCAACTGTTGGTTGTTTTTATATGTTTTTATATATAAAGAGTTTTTATATGTATCCTGGATACCAGATCCTTATCAAGAACATGAATTGCGAGTATTTTCTCTCTGGTACATTTTTTACATCTTCACTTTCAATCAGCCTAACCTGGCTAACTTATTACAGGTGGGAGGTCAAGCAGTTTCAAGTACTCCAGTGAGAGAAAAACCTGGGCTTAGGAGAGTCACCAGGCTAGCAACCACATGCAAATGCAGACCGTTAGCATCTGAAGAGATTTTAAAGATCATTAAGCCCCTTTGAGATGCCCACGGTTAGGCAGGGTTGGAGTTAGAACTTCTGCTCTAAACCACGGTCTCTAACAACTGGTCTCTTTCATTCCACCTAAGAACTTAGGGATCAAGTTCCTAAACAAAACAAAACAAAGCAAAGACAGAATGTACAAGAAGGATTAATTGATTCAAATTGAATTTGGTCTCTTCATTCTGCATAAATGAAGCAGGGAAAGGCAGAACATTCACATAGCATATTTAACTAGGGTTTAAGTCAGGAGATGTTTATTGAATGCTGTCTGTATAACAGGCACTGTGCTAGACTCCCAGAGACATGAGGAAAAGAAGAGATGACACCTGCCCCTGAAGACCTCCAGTAGAAAAAAACATAAACACAAGAATTTATGGTATAAGGAAATAAAAGCTCCAGCAGGGCTGGGAAGGGCTGTAGAATATATATTATCAGTGGTTTACAAAATAGTTTTGCTTTCATACTCTGTGTATTCAGTATTATTTATTGCTAGAATGAGACAGGGTTCTTTATCAGCTTGGTTCCTTAAATAAAAACATGGAGAAAACTTGTTCACAAGTTTTGCAGAGAAGACTAGATTTGTTATAGCAGTTAATATTCCATTTTCTGAACTTATGTAGAAGTATATGCTAACAATCTCTCAGCAAAAATTTATGATGTTCTACCAGATGGAAACCATTATTTCAAATTGTGCCTGATTTTGTACCGTAAAGGTATTTCTATCCCAGGGCAGAGTATCATATTAAGATTAGGAAGGAGATGGGTGAGTGGTTTGCCTAAAAAAGGCAGAGAAAGAAAGAACTGAAGAGTTGAAGAAAGACAATAGTGCCAAGGGAGATGGGAAAGGAGAATCTGCATGTGAAACAAGTCTTCAAAAAATGTTAGGTAAAAGCATATGTAAAAACTGATGAGGGGGCTGGCATTGTGGCTCAGTGGGTTAAGCTGCCGCCTACAACACCAGCATCCCATATGAGCACTGGTTTAAGTCCCAGCTACTCCATTTCCAATCCAGCTCCCTGCTAACATGCATGGGAAGCCAGCGGAAGACGGTCCAAGTACTTGGGCCCCAGCCACCACGTGGGAGACCCAGAGGATCCTGGCTTTGGCCTGGCCCAGTGCCAGTGGTTGCGGCCATTTGACGAGTGAGCCAGCAGATGGAAGATATCTTTCTCTAACTCTGCCTTTCAAATAAATAAATAAATCTTAAAAAAAGAGAAAGCTGATGATCTGAAATTGATTAAAATATATGTCTATGTACCCATTATGTACCTCAAGAATACATATCCCAATCTGCAAGCATTTCTAAGTACATTTCAACATTACAGTCTTTTTTCTGTTTTTTTATTTTGACAGGCAGAGTGGACAGTGAGAGAGACAGAGAGAGAAAGGTCTTCCTTTTGCCGCTGGTTCACCCTCCAATGGCCGCCGCTGCAGCCGGCGCACCGCGCTGATCCTGGCAGGAGCCAGGATCCAGGTGCTTTTCCTGGTCTCCCATGGGGTGCAGGGCCCAAGCACCTGGGCCATCCTCCACTGCACTCCCTGGCCATAGCAGAGAGCTGGCCTGGAAGAGGGGCAACCGGGACAGAATCCGGCGCCCCAACCGGGACTAGAACCCGGTGTGCCGGCGCCGCAAGGTGGAGGATTAGCCTATTGAGCCACGGCGCCGGCTCACATTTCAACATTTATTTATTTATTTTTTATTTGACAGGTAGAGGTATAGACAGTGAGAGAGAGAGACAGAGACAAAGGTCTTCCTTCTGTTGGTTCACTCCCCAAATGGCCACTACGGCCAGCGCTGCGCCAATCCGAAGCCAGGAGCCAGGTGCTTCTTCCTGGTCTCCCATGCGGGTGCAGGTGCCCAAGCACTTGGGCCATCCTCCACTGCCTTCCCAGGCCACAGCAGAGAGCTGGAATGGAAAAGGGGCAGCTGGGACTAGAACCCGGTGCCCATATGGGATGCCGGCGCCGCAGGCGGAGGATTAACCAAGTGAGCCATGGCGCCGGCCCCACATTTCAACATTTATTAAACACATACTTTCAAACAATCTACGAGATGTAGCCTATTATCTCTGTTTCACAGATAAACAACTTGCTCAAGCTCACTGACTTAGAAAATGAAAGAATTTCTTCCACCTGCAGTGCCAGCATCCCATATGGGCACCGGTTTACATCCCTGATGCCCTGCTTCCAATCCAGCTCCCTGCTATGGCCTGGGAAAGCAGTGGAAGATGGCTCAAGTGCTTGGGCCCCTGCACCCTTGTAGGAGCTCCTGGCTCCTGGCTTTGGATCGGCCCAGCTCCAGTTGTTGCGGCCATTTGGGGAGTGAACCAGAGTACGGATGACCTCTCTCTGTCTCTCCCTCTCTTTGTCTTTAACTCTGCCTCTCAAATAAATAAATAAATTTTAAAAACCAACAATAAAAAACCCCAACACTCTGGAAAAGTCCTGCTCAAGTTCTGGATCTGATCTTTACTGGCAGTGTAATTTTGGTCAAGTACTTAATTTGAGTCTTGGTCCTCTCATTTGTATGGGAATACTAATAATACTAATAATAAGTATCTATCTCATAGGAAAAGTGCCATGTATCCCAGTTTTCACGTGACAGTTTTGATTTATGCTTTTTGGTCCAACATAATTATTAGTAGCATCTCTCACAGTGGTCCTGGTTTGGACATTAAACCAAGGGGCCAATCTCACAAGGCTGTTTTGAGCATGTGTCTTGCCTAGTAGCTAGAAGAAAATAAGCACTTAAATTGTCAGCTGTTACTGTTAGATATCAAAAATGCTTTATAAACTGTAAAGCATGATACAACTATAATGATGACTACTATGTGCACAGTGTTCCTATATTCTGTGATTTCCATCCCGTCTTTATTTTCATCTTTACAACTGTATAAAGCAGAAAAGGCTGGTATTATTCTCAATTAAGAGATGCTTTATTGAAGTCAGTATTGTCAGCTTCTGGAGAATTCTCTGCAACTCTGAATGAGGACTTTGTAGATTTTTCCTTTGAGACTTGCACCCTACACTGGTTCAGTCTGCATAAAACAGAAATCTAACCAAGTGCTTCCCAAGTGCTCACATCATAATGAACCAATTTTTCCTTTTATACATTTTTTTATCTTCCAGTGTCTAATGTTATACACAAAATGGCATATTTATGTCCATGTATGCATATATATGTATACATAGCAGGTTCAGAAGAGTTCATGGAAAATGCACACCATGACAAGACTATGCATGGATTTAAAATTTTTTGCACCAAAATAAATGTATCTTTTGATTTCCTTTTTCAACAAACTTTTTGAAGTACTCTCACAATGTGTGAGATATATATATGTATATATATATATATATACACACATATATATATATATATATAATGATGGCACCATTAAAGCTTATTAAAATTGGCACCAATTTCTCACTTTGGGTAACACAATTTCAGTTACACTTTAGAAATTGGATAAAGCTATAGTTTAAAGAACTAAAGGTGGCATTTTTATGGGTTGTTTTATTACAAATAAAGAATTTTTCCTTTTTCAAGAAGGCTACTTTCTCCCACTTATACCTTAAGTATGTTAAGGATCTTTTCCATTCTATCTACTCTCTACCTGAATTGATTCAGAAGCATATTTAAATAGCTTGGAAGATCCAACATAGGTGTTTTCTTTTCAAGATCACTGAGATACTTAATAGCAGCTTACTAAAGTGGTTAAAACTACAGGCTGTCATCTCTGCTACTTAACAGCAATGTGACACTGGGACACTACTTAACCTTTCTGTGACTCAGTTCCCTCATCTGTAAAATGGGCTACGAACAGTGACTGCTTCCTAAGCCTTGAGGACTCAACGAGGTACTGCAAGTCAGAAAGTGCTAGGCACATAATAAACAGTCAATAAATGCTAGCTATTAAGAGGACCAAAGTCCACTTAAAATTTCTTTCAGTTAATAAAACTAAACTACAATATGCTATAATTTTTTTTTAGTATTTATTTATTTGAAAGGCAGAGTTACAGACAAAGAGAGGGAGAGACAGAGAGAGGTTTTCCATCCACTGGTTCACTCCCCAAATGTATGCAATGGCTGGAGCTGAGCTGATCTGAAGAGCCTGGAGCTTCTACTGGGTCTCCCATGTGGGAGCAGGGGCCCAAGGACTTGGGCCATCTTCCACTGCTTTCCCAGGCCATAGTAGAGAGCTGGATTGGAAGAGGAGCAGCCGGGACTTGAACTGGTGCCTACATGGGATGCTGGCACTGCAGGTGGCAGCTTTATCCACTATGCCACAGTGCCAGCCCCTGTGCTATACTTTTCAAAAAAAAAATTCTCTTATTAAACCAAACTGGTCCTATGAGAAACATCTTTGAATTATATATGTTCTTAGGTTGCTAACACTTTTATTATTTTTATTGCTAATCATATTTCCAAAATAGATATTTCTTAAAAGACCAACCTCTACTTACAGATTGAGAAGGTGGTGGATTTGGGCAACTATTCTTGGCTTTTAGATAAGGCCTATAAAAGAAAAAATAAAGTTAATCCTTAGTATAGAAGTATTAGCAAGGTTTAGGAAGCACAGTGATTAACAATTATGATTAGAATTTTAAACCATTAGAATTTCTATATATGGTAAAACAAAGTTATAATCAATAAAAAGTCTCCTTATCATACTGTCCTTAGTCCTGTATTCTCCTAGGAGACCCAAAATTGTTCTTACCCATGCTTTTTTATCATTTAAAAGATTATTTATTTTTATTTCATCTGTGAGGCAGAAGAAGAGTTAGAAAGAGAGAGCGTGAGCACATGGTATCTTCCATCCATTGGTGCACTCCCCAGATAACCCTGCAGCAACCAGGGCTGGACAAGACAGAATGAAGCCAGGAGACTGGAACTCCTTCTGGGCCTCCGTGTGGATGGCAGGGATCTAAGTACTTAAGCCATTATCTGCTGCCTCCCTAGGTGTCCATTAGCAGAAAACTGGATTGAAAGTGAAACAATTGGGACTTGAAGCAGACATTCCAATATGAGATATGGTGTCCCAAGCAGTGTGTGTGTGAGATCCTTTTAGAGGTAACCTATGCACAAATGTAGCAATCTAACAATATTAATGATAATGTGTATTTTTTTTATATTTTCAGTCTTATTAATTTAAAATTATTTCTCAAACACTGCAGATACTAGTGATACGTAGCTCTCGTGTGACCTCCTGAATTCTCACAAGAGGGTTATAAAAGTCTGAGTTTGGGCCCAACGCCTTTCTCTGCTTCCTGACCACTATGTGATCCTTCCTCTATATGTATTCACCACCTGCCACAGGTTCCTCACCAGAACCAAAGCTTGCTCCATGCAGTTTGGACTTTGAACTTCCAAAGTTGTAGCCTAAATAAACCTTTTCTCTTCATCAGCTTGTTGCCTCAGCTATTTTGTTGTGATAACACAAAGCTGATTAATACAGTCAACTTTCTAAAACGAATTTCCTTCTTTAAAACATCTTAAGATAGTGAATTTTCAGAGGGAAAACATGATATAGTTTAAGAATAGAAATATACATAAAATGTAATCAGTGAGATAGAAAAATTAAAAAAAAGAGAACAGAGGAGAATTTAGGATTCAATTTCTATGCACCAAAAACAAAGCCTAGACTAACAGGGATTCTTTTTTTTTTTTTTTTTTTTTTTCAATTTCTTTTGACAGGCAGAGTGGACAGTGAGAGAGAGAGACAGAGAGAAAGGTCTTCCTTTGCCGTTGGTTCACCCCCCAATGGCCGCCGTGGCCGGTGCGCTGCAGCCGGCGCACCGTGCTGATACAATGGCAGGAGCCAGGTGCTTCTCCTGGTCTCCCATGGGGTGCAGGGCCCAAGCACTTGGGCCATCCTCCACTGCACTCCCTGGCCACAGCAGAGAGCTGGCCTGGAAGAGGGGCAACCGGGATAGAATCCGGCGCCCCGACCGGGACTAGAACCCGGTGTGCCGGCGCCACAAGGTGGAGGATTAGCCTAGTGAGCCGCGGCGCCGGCCAACAGGGATTTTGATAATGATTTATTTAATATTTCTCACTCATCTAGAACATAAGCTCTGGGAGGCTTATGCACCACATTTCCAGCATCAACATTGATTGGTACATTCTAGACACTAAACGAATATTGTTGACTAAATAAATTAAGTTCATTTAATCAAGGAAATGGAGATGAGTAAAAACCCCAGGTAAAATAAAGGGGAAAAACTAACTTATATAAAAATAAATTTTTAAATAGAAATGTAGCTACTCAAGTGGGGGAGAAAATACAGCAAATGTTAAGCAAGAAAAATACCCCCCCCCCCCCACGAGGACAGTAAGATGCTGAAAGAGGTTAAAAATGAGGTGATCATGGTTCTGTTTATTCCAAGAGCAAATGCTAAGAAGATGAGCAAAAAGCACCGGCAGGCCGGGGAATGTCAGTGTGTCACTGTGGAGGGCTGATGGTGACGGGCTCTCCTGCTCTAGCGAGAAACCCCAGAACCAGGGTCATCCAATCCAGGACCAAAAGTGCATTCACGGAATCAAGTTCCCCAGGAGAAAAGGCAGAGAGAAGAAAAGCTTCCCGCATGGTAACACTGTTGATCTCTCCTCCTTCCTTTGGAGGCTGTCACAACAATCCTGCTTCAGTCTCTGCCAACTGACTCGGCATTGTCCAGGGTCTGGGTGGTGCTTGGACTGAGACGCCCTTTGCAGTTATCATGGGATCCCCATGCAGTGTGAGTAGTCTGCAGGCCCAAGGGCAGTGCTTGGAAAAGGCTTTACATTGCTGTTAGCAATAAGGGCAACAAAGCTGGAGTAACTGTGGGTGGGCAAACTCACTTGGTGTTCTGGTTCTTCAATTTTCCCTTGGCTGCTAGGTACTCCTGGAGCTTTCGCTGCCGTTCTGTAAAACAGGCAAGCATGAGGACAACAGAGATTTTGTCTAAGACTTTAACCAGTTCATTCACATTATAAGAGAGCACTTTTCAGATTCTGGCTTTGCACAGAGATAGTATAAAGTCCCCAGTGCTGAAAGTTTGCTTTCAAGTGAACAACAACATCAACACTATCATTCATAGGCCAGGCCCTATACTAAGCTCTTTACACTTACTTTTTAAAAAAATATTTACTTATTTATTTTGAAGGTCAGAGTAAGAGAGAGGAGAAGACAGAGAGAGGGGTCTTCCATCCACTGGTTCATTCCACAGATGGCTGCAACAGCCAGCACTGGGCCAGGTGGAAGCCAAGAGCCAGGAGCTTCTTCTGGGTCTCCCATGTGGGTGGCAGGGGCCTGTGCACTTGGACCATCTTCTGCTGTTTTTCCCAGGCCATTAGCAGGGAGCTGGACTGGAAGTGGAATGGCTGGGACACCAACTGCCACCCTTATGGGGTGCTGGTCTCACAGGTGGTGGCTTTACCCATTATGCCGCAACGTTGGCCTCTATAGTAACTTCTCAGAATCCATACAACAATACTATGAGATATTTTCTAGTCTGAAATTCTGAGATGGCAAATGACTTGCCTAAAGTTACCTGGCTAATACGTGGCAAGGCCAGAATTCAAAAAGAGGCTTATCTAACCCCAGAGCCCTTGTTCACAGCTCCTGTTCTCAGGTATAACACACTATGCTTAGCATGAAGAGATTTTGTTACTGGCCCACCTGAGCCAGTGAACCAGGCCTGGTCTTAGTTTGCTTTTTTTCTGAGAGGGGTGAAGATTTTTACCCATAAACCCTTATATGGTTTCCTTTAGGATTAAGGAAAATATACGGCAGGTTAGTGGCTAATAGCAAACATACATGACTTTCTCTGCAAGGCATTTGTGAGGGGATGAAAGTCAATTCAGGTTGAGCATCCCTAATCTATAAATCCAAAATGTTTTAAATCCCAAACTTTGTGAATATTGACATAAGACCACACGTGGAAGATTCCACATCTGACCTCAAGTGACAGGTCCAAACACAGGTACACTAAAAATATGTAAAATTCCCTTCTGCTATGTGCATAAGGTGTATATGCATTCCATGCTTAGACTTAGGTTGGATCCCTAAGATATATCATTATGCACACGCAAATATTCACAAATCCCTAAACAGCAGAAATCAAAAACATTTCTGGTCCCAGGCATTTTGGATAAAGGCTAATCAACCTGTATTTCTGATTTTAATCCAGTTGTGGAGATAAAGCATAGAAAGAACTATATTAGAAAGCAATATCTAGGTACCACAGAATTAGATTCAATAACAGAATTATGGAGTTCAGACGTGGGGAATGGGTGAAGGGAGTGGGTGGTGGGAAAAGGCTAAAGCCAAATAATGATAAAAAAAAAAAAAGAGACTACAGGGGATGCAAAAGCTACAATCAGCTCATCTGGCCCGAGTTGCCCTGTTTCGCTGGTTTGATGCGCCCCTCATGAGACAGCGGTGAGAAACGCATCTTGGGTCCATGGGAGCCAGGGCACAGAGCGAGTTGCTGTGGGGTCTGACATCTGGGGAGGGCACCCAGTTCTGTGACTTCTACCAAGTTAGCAAAACCCTATAACATGGGGACAGCAATGTCCCCTTAAGTGCTGTCATGCCAAGTGCCCACGACCTAGTAGACTCAACAGGTACAACTGATGCGACAATCAAAACACCGCGCGCAGCCTGGAGCAGGTGGCATCTGAGTATTTCAGGGGGCGGGGAAGAGGTCCCGGGTCTACGAGGTCAGGGAAGGTAGGCTCCTTAGCCCTCGATGCAGATTTAATCAGTCCGCAGACGGCCTGGGCTCCGGTCGGATCCCGGATCTTGGCAGCTGTCAAACCTGGGGCACAGAGGACCACGCCCGGCCGCGCCCGCTGCCAGATCTGGGTGGAAGGAGCGCGCCGCTTCCCACCGGTGATAATGACATCGTTTTGCAGGGCGGCAGCAAGCATTACTGGGAAGGTGCTCGCGAGGCCTCTGGGCCTCCGCACAGCTACCCAGATCCCGCTTCCAGACGCGTCCCTGTGGGGTCGGGGCCTGAACTCCACGCCCAGGGGAAACCGAGGCAGACAGGCACGCGGATGGGCAAACTCCGCGGGCAGAACTCAGTCGGCGGCCTCTCCACTTCCCGACGGTGCTCCAAAGCCGGCAAGAAACAGGGTTCGCGGTCATACTCACCCGCTGCAGCAGAGGCGGCGCCGCGTCCCGGGCCCACCATGACTCCCGAGACAGTTTTTCTTCAAAGGCCGCGCCAGGAGCTTCGGCCTACGCGCCGCGCGTCCGCGCGCTCTCATTGGCTCTCGCGGGTTTGAAACTCTCCAGTTGAAGGCAGGGAAGGGTGGGCCAATGGGAAACAGACGCTTTGCGGTTGGCTCTGGCTCTCGGAGCCCTCCCTCCGGGCTCTTTGATTGGAAGAACGTGCACGCACGCCGGCATTAAAGGCGGTGCTCTACCGTGAGCCGCCGGGACCCGCCTCCGAGGTCGGCCGTATAGCTCAGAGTTTGTGTCAGCTGGGCGGACGGTTGTGGTGTCTTACGGTGAACGACCGAGGTCCCGAGAGTCCCTGAGGTGAATGACAAGGGCTGTCCTCCTGGGCTGCTGGGGCCACAACCTGAGTCCCTTCTCTAGGTCCAGAGGAGCTATGAAAAATAAACAAACAAATAAATAAATAAAAGGCATAACTGTGGTATCGCTACTCGTTAAGAGTGGGATGAATCTAAAGCCTCAATACTGCAGGGTAGCTCCTTTAAAATTTTTTTAATTGTAGTAAAATCTAAATAGCAAAATTTCCCATTTAATCACTCTTAAGTGTTATCTTAAAAAAGTGTACTGTCCAGAGGCATTAATTCATTCTCATTGTTGTGCAACCGCCATCACTCAGTCTTGCAAACGTTTTCTTCCCAACTGAAGCTCTGTCCCCAAGAGGAGCTAACTCTGCTCCTTCCCCCAGCCTCTGGGGACCCCGTTCCACTCTCTCTATGAATTCGACAGTTTCAGCTACCTCGTGAAAGTGGAATCATACAGTCTACGACCCGTGACTTGCTTGCTTTACTTAACGTATTTTTAAAGTTTACGCATGTTGTAGTATGTGCCCGAATTTCCTTGCTCTTTAACACGGAATGATGTTCCACTTTGTGCCTGGCCCATGGTTTCTCTGCTAATCCAGCTGTGGACCCTCGGGTTGCTGCCCCCTGGTGGCTGTTGTGATATGGCTGTTGAGAGAGTATGTGGCAAGCCCTGCTCCGCGCACCCAGAAGCAGGCTGAAAAACTAATATTCAGTCGAGCCAAATCAATTGGCTCCAATATGACCATCAGATTCACCACTACCAACCTCCAGCCTTACTATACCATCATATATGATTAATATGATTATTAGCATGGTAAAAATCACTTCCCCTCTTGCCAAGACAGCTGCCAGTTGTTGGCATTACCTAAGGAAGTGATCACACAGGGAAAGAAGAGAGGTAGATCCCGAATTCCTGGAAGTCACTATTAGTATTTAGCCCAGATATGAACATACACCTCGTGGACCCTGTAAATGTAGACCCCGAAAGCTCGTGGGCTGCTTTGTGGAGTCTGTTCTTTGTTGCTTTCTTTAATAACTCTCTTCCTTCCACCTTGCAGTTTGCAGTTGATTTCTATTTTTCTCTGAAGCCAAGGATCCTCCTGAGGCTGTGAGTTCCCGGCTGTCCTGTACCTCAGTGATCATGGGTGTACCAATGTCTTCGTGAGTCCCTCTTTTCAATTGTTTTGGGTATGAATACCAAGAGGAGTATTGTTGAATCATATGGTAATTCTGTTCTTAAGTTTTTGGGGGGACATTCTACTCTTTTTCAGGATAGCTCCCTTTTAATGTATACTATGCATTTGGCCTTATCAGCTGACCATATGCCTAACCAAAAGGGTACAGCAGAGGGCAGGCCCAGTGGTCCCCAGTCCCTAGACACACCTCTTCCCCCCGTTTCAGTCCTAAATGTATTCATTGGAAGTTTGCCCTCTGTTACTCTCCATTTTCATGGAGAGCTCTGGGCAATGCTCTTGGATGTCTGTGCATCAGGATCCCTCCTCCCTGGGAGCTGGGGAGGTGGTGGGTAGTCAACATCTGGGCCCCTTTGCTAGGTTTGCTTCCCTAGTTGGGCATTTGGCAGAGCGGGAAGCCATAGCAGCAGCTCTTTGGGGTTGGAAGAAAGCTATGCTGGGGTTTCTGGACTTACCCTACATGTTGACGTTTACGTTAGTGGTATAAAACACATTTAAAATAAGAAAATGGATCATTGTTCTGATGAAAACTTTGACTCTTTGTCCAGGACTATGACTTTATGCCTAATGGTTAAATCTAGGAGTTGAGCAACAGCCTCCTTTGTTAGTGGCCAAGGGGCTCCTTTGTGGACAGTTTTGGGAAAGTGAAGGGGTCCTGTTGGTCTTCACAGAATCTTAGTGACTGAATGCATTTCAGTTTAGAAGTCCTCTTGCCTGGCCTCCCAGTCAGTGCTAGAGAATTTTATAGATGCCATGTAAGTATTACACTTTGGCAGGAGTACTGCTGGTTCTGGGGAGCTGTCTTACCTGTCCTGCTATTGGAGAACCCTGCCTGTTGTGAAATGTTTTTTAAAATAAGCTCAAACAAGCCCTCTTGCTCATTGGTCCCAGGCCTTTGGAGGAACTAGGCCAGTCCTGCACCCTTTCCTCTATCCTTTGGATATTTGAAGGAGTATTTTGTAGGACACAAAATGTGGGGGCAAAACGTAGGCAGATTAACTTCTCAACTCATCCATTAAGACACCACTGTAGCTCTCTCTGCAACTAGTGGATTTAGTGGCTTCTGATTGCTCTAGGGCTAAAGCCCTCAGGCCTCTGCAGGACCTGGACTCTGCCTAATTCTTCACCTTACCCCACACTCCTCTCCCCTTGCTCAGTGTAATCCATTCGCACTGCTTTTTCTGCTAATTTATTGCCATACTTTTTTCTCCAACTAGGAATCCAATCCCTCTTCCTTTTTTCACTTGGGCAATTACTATTGCTATCTTTACTATAACAGCTTTGTTGAGATATTCACATACCATACACTTTACCCACTCCTATTTTAGAGAGTTCTCATCACCCCCTACAGAAACCCTATGGTCATTATTAGGCACTCCCTGTTCTCTCCTCCCAGGCTGTGGAAACCACTAATCTATTTGATAGGTTTTCCTGTTCTAGACATTTCCTATACACAGAGTCATAAAATACATGGTCGATGGCAAGCTTCTTTCTCTTAGCATATTGTTTTCAAGCTTTATTCATGTATCAGTACTTAGCATGTATCAGTGCTTCATTTCTTTTTATGGCTGGATAATCTGTTGTATGAATAATGCCCACTCATCCATTGATGGATATTTAGATTATTTCCATTTTTTGGCTGCTGTGAATAATGATGCATTAATGTACAAGCTTTCATATGGATGTTTGTTTTCAGTACTCATGCTATGGTTTGAATATGGTTGTTCCCTCTGAAACTCATGTTTGAAATTTGATTGACATTGTGGTGGTGTTGGAAGCTGGGACTGATAAGAATTGCTTAGGACTCATTAAAGGGGTTGCTACCTTTCTGGTGATACTGGGTTAATCCTCACAGGACTGGATTAATTCCCAAAAGAGATTATTATATATATATATAGATAGATTATTATAAAATGAGCCCAGCCCCTCTGGCTTGCTCTTCTGTGTGTGTGTCCCCATCTGACTTCTGCTATGTTATGAACCAGCATGAAGTCCCCACCAGAGGCAGTTGCTTAATCTCGAACTTTTGAGCTTCCGGAGCTAGGACCCCAAATAAATCTCTTTCTTTTTTAACTTACACTGTCTCAGGTGTTCTGTTACAGCAATAGAAGACAGACTGAGACAATAACTTATGAATGAGATTACTGAGTCACATGGTAACTCTGTATGTATCCACTTGAGGAACTGCCAGACTGTTTCCAGAAGCAGTTGTACCATTTTACATCTCCTCAAGGAGTGTATGAAGGTTCCCATTTCTCTACAACCTGAACAACATTTGTTATGGTCCACTTTTTATTGCAATCATTGTAGTAGGTGTGAAGCACTATCTCTCACTGTGGCTTTTGTTTGTATTTCCTAGATGGATAATATATTGGTCATCTTTTCACATGCTTGTTGGCCATTTGTAGATCTTTGAAGATGTGTCTTTGGCCCATTTTTTTTAAAGATTTATTTTTATTTATTTGAAAGAGAGTTACAGAAGGCTGGTGCCGCGACTCAATAGGCTAATCCTCCACCTGCGGGTTCTAGTCCCGGTTGGGGTGCCAGATTCTGTCCTGGTTGCCCCTCTTCCAGGCCAGCTCTCTGCTGTGGCCAGGGAGTGCAGTGGAGGATGACCCAAGTGCTTTGGCCCTGCACCCCATGGGAGACCAGGAGAAGCATCTGGTTCCTGGCTTCAGATCAGCGCGGTGCGCTGGCCGCAGCGCGCCAGCCACAGTGGCCATTGGTGGGTGAACCAACAGAAAAGGAAGACCTTTCCCTTTCTCTCTGTCTCTCTCTCTCACTGTCCACTCTGCCTGTCAAAAAAAAAAAAAAAAAAGAGTTACAGGGAGAGGTAGAGACAGAGAGAGAGGTCTTCCATCTGCTGGTTCACTCCCCAGATGGCTGCAACAGCCAGAGCTGTGCCAATCCAGAGCCAGGAGCTTCCTTCAGGTCTCCCATGGGTGCAGGGGCCCAAGGACTTGGGCCATCTTCTACTGCTTTTCCAGGCCATAGCAGAGAGCTGGATTGGAGAGGAGCAGCCAGGACTAGAACCAGTGCCCATATGGGATGCCAGTACTTCAGGCCAGGGCTTTAACCTACTGTGCCACAGCGCTGGCCCTATGGCCCATTTTGAACGTGAGTCATTGTCTCTGTCTGTTTTGTGTTCTTGTAACAGAATATCTGAGACTGAATAACTTATGAAAAACAAAAAAATTTTCTCACTGTCTGGAGGCTGGGAAGTTCAAGGTTGAGGGGCTCACATCTGGGCATGCCTTCTTGCGGTGTTGTTCCTTGGTGGAAGGGTAAGACAATGTGAATGCAGGGGCAGGTGCTGTGGCACAGCAGGTAAAGCTGCCACCTGGCATCCCATATGGGCACTGATTCGAGTCCTGGCTGCTCCACTTCTGATCCAGCTCTCTGCTATGGCCTGGGATAGCAGTGGAGGATGGCCCAAGTCCTTGGGCCCCTGCACCTGCTTGGGAGACCTGGAAAAAGCTCCTGGCTCCTGAATTCAGATCGGCGCAGCTCCAGCCATTGCGGCCAGTTGGAGAGCGAACCAGTGGATGGAAGATTAATCTCCCAGGAAAAAATTCACTAAGTAAAGTGGCAACAGTGGGACTGGCATTGTGAATGAGCTCTATTTCTTGGAGGGAAGGAGAGGCGGGTGTTCCTCTGGAAATCAAGGCCTCTAGTTTGTCAAAGCTAGGAGCCACATGTAGGCTTTGGGATTTTGAGAGATGAGAGGGTAAGTAAGGATAATCCATTCATGTTTTTTTCTCAGTTAGGCAGAGCATTACAGATGTTCTGGAGGTGTGACTCCAAGGGCAAGTACATACCTGCTGGGTCCCTCAGTGTCTGTGTAAGCGTAGGCGAGCATATGAGATGGAAGGGAACTTGTGCTGTTGGGTACCTTATTTCCCTACAGGGCCCACTGGTGCCCTGGGCTGTGGGAAGGCCTCTGCTGAATTGATGGGACCTGTGCATTCCTTCTTCTCCTAACCCTGCATCAGTTTGCCCAAAGGGTATCCATAGTTCACCTCATGATGAGACCATCTTTGACTCTGGGAATATCTTAATTCTAAGTATGTTACCTTTGGAGCTTAAAAAAAAAAATGTTCCCATCCCAGACTGAATCCGAGTCTTCAGAGATGATGCCTGGGCCTGGACACTTTGGAAGAGCTCTGTTATCAGAGAACCCCAGGTGCTCCTCAGCTGTGGTTTTGCTACCCTCCAGGGAGTACCCTTTTTGCACATAATGTTGTGTAAGGCCCTTTGTTGTTTGTCAGCCACTCTGATAGAAAAATAGGCAAGAGAGTAATTGTTGAGAAGAGGGAGCGAAGGTGTTCTCTCCTGGTGAGAATAGCAGATCGGAAAGGGAATGAGAGAGAGAAGAACACAGTGTATCCACAGAGACAATTGCCTGTAGAGCATTTTAAGGTGAGTGAATAGCTTATGCCCAGGTTTGATGGACAGTACAAAAAACTCCCATGTCTGATTACACAAAGAAGTGAAATAAGGACATTTTTCCCCTATAAATTAAAAAGATCCCTCTTTATTTTATTTATTTATTTTTTTGACAGGCAGAGTGGACAGTGAGAGAGACAGAGAGAAAGGTCTTCCTTTTCCATTGGTTCACCCTCCAATGGCTGCCACGGACGGCGCGCTGCAGCCAGCGCACTGTGCTGATCCGAAGCCGGGAGCCATGTGCTTCTCCTGGTCTCCCATGGGGTGCAGGGCCAAAGCACTTGGGCCATCCTCCACTGCACTCCCTGGCCACAGCAGAGAGCTGGCCTGGAAGAGGGGCAACCGGGACAGAATCTGGCGCCCCAACCGGGACTAGAACCCGGGGTGCCGGCACCGCAAGGCTGAGGATTAGCCTAGTGAGCTGCGGCGCTGGCCAAAAGATCCCTATTTATTGAGGTATAACTTACATATATTGAAATTCATTTTACATATAGTTCAATGAGATGTTTTTAAATAATAAATTTTGTATGAATTGGTATGTTGTATAATCATACATTCATTTAAAAGATCAGAAAAATATGAAACTAAAAAATGTTATTTACAATCATTCAATTATTCAGAGGTAAGAGCTAGTGTTATTTTAGTGTATACTTTTCAACAATGATTTTAACACAAATAGTAGATATTTAAAATAAAAACAGAATCACTGAAAAACCATTTGCAACCTATTGTTTATAGTCTACAACACAATGAGAAAAATAAAAATATGCTTTCCAAACTGCAGAAGTCACAAGCCAAGAGAGAGAGTCAATGTCTCAAACAAGAGAATCAAAATCCAGAGTAATCTAGAAAGATCTTGAGGCCAAATTAACAAGATTAAATTTCACAGGGCTACATTTAAAGTTCTGAACTTAGCTGAGAGCCTGTTGGTCTTAGCTGTCTACAAATATATGAATGAACAGAAACTAATGCTTGGGCTGCCTTAAAAGCATAACATCCAAAGTAAGAAAGAAAAGATCTCATTGTAGGCTATGCTGGCCTGACTGTATCATAGATCCTATCCTCAATTTTGGGTAATTATTTTATAGAAGATATTCACAAGTCAATGCTCGTTCAGATTTTAGAGGACAATTCTTACAAATGCATATGGACTCAAAATCATCACACAATCAAGGATTATATATAGACACACAAACATGTTTTATATCATGATATTTATTGCTATCCCAACAATTCCATCACTCCTAAAAGTTCAAGTGAAGTTAGCTTTCAATGTCAAGGGGGTAGCAACTCAGTGGCAGGGAAATATCTTTTGGCCTTTTGCTTCTGAACCTTGGGCTTTAGGGATTTGGTTCTACACTCATTGATTTGGAAGCTGGTATGTAAGATGTTAACCGAAGAAATAGACTCTAACAATTCCAGTGGTAAGGCTGTTGGATATCATCATTGTGGTGAACTTCTTTTTTTTTTTGAAGGCAGAGTTAGACAGTGAGAGAGAGAGAGAGAGAGAGAAAGGTCTTCCTTCTGTTGGCTCACCTCCTAAATGTCCGCTATGGCCGGCGCGCTGTACGGATCCAAAGCCAGGAGCCAGGTGCTTCCTCCTGGTCTCCCATGGGGTGCAGGGCCCAAGCACTTGGGCCATCCTCCACTGCCTTCCCAGGCCACAGCAGAGAGCTGACCTGGAAGAGGAGCAACCGGGACAGAATCTGGCGCCCCAACCAGGACTAGAACCCGGAGTACTGGCGCCGCATGTGGAGGATTAGCCTAGTGAGCTGCGGTGCCGGCCTGTGGTGAACTTCTTGCTACTTACGCAGTGAGGGAGGAGGGGTAAAGGATGATGGACAGTTGGCTCTGGGGGAATAACACTTTGAGATCATCTCTACAATGATTTAATATTTCACTTCTGATCACAGACTGAGCAACTATTACATTTTTTAAGATTTCTTAAATTTGTATGCTTGCTCATGGTTTTGTTTTCACTTATTAAAATATTAAGATATACTAAAGTTAAAATATTTCTTAATCTTAAAACCAAAGGACAACCTGAAAGCAGGTCTTAGTCTTCCTGTAGCCATACTTAGGTAAGGAAATTCTAGTAAAGTAGTTGCTTCTAGAAATAAAAAGGTAAAACAAACATGAGACCAAGTTTCTGTGAACTCTATCAGTTAGACTGAGTTGGCTTCCAGTCATAGCAAACCAAATGAAAGTAGTTTAATAATAATAACAACATTTTTATATTCTTAAAATATGGAGGACAGTTCTTAGTGTAACAGTATTGTTAGAGGTGCTGGTTCTTTGTTCTGCCTTCCTCAGCACGTGATGGTGCTGTCCCCATGGTTACAGGTCAGTGACCACAGTTCCAAGCCCACGAACCTGTCTAATGGAAGAAGGAGTCAGGGAAAAGGACCTTTTTCTATATGGCTCTCTTTTATCAGGGTAGAAAATCTTTTCCAGAAGTTGCTCCCAACATACAGACATCTCACTAGACAGGGTTAAATTAACAGGACTTAATCATGGGAGAAAAGAATGAATACCATCTTAAACCAATTAGATTCATTCTCAAAGGCAGGGTGTGTTGATTTTGAAAATCAAGTTTCTGTTAGTAAGGAAGAAGGGGAGATGATGACTGTGTGGACAACCATCAGTGTTCACCATATGCATTTCTTCTTTTCTCTCTTTCATGGCGCTTTTAGGATTTTACCTACTGCATGTGTGCTGATATCTTCCAAATCCAAGCACTTGGGCCATCTTCTACTGCTTTCCCAGGCCACAGCAGGGAGCTGGATCAGAAGTGGAGCAACCGGGACTCGAACCAGCACTCATATGGGGTGTCGGCACTGCAGGTGGTGGCTTTACCTGCTATGTCACAGCACTGGCCCTGAGAATATTATCTTATTTTAAAAAGATTTTATTTATTTATTTGAGAGGTAGGGTTTCAGATAGAGAGAAGGAGAGACAGAAATTATTTTCCATCCTCTGGTTCACTCCCCAGATGGCTGCAATGATTGGAACTGGGCCGACCTAAAGCTAGGAGCCAGGAGCCTACTCCTGGTCTCCCACACGGATGCAGGGGCCCAAACACCTGAGCCATCTTCCACTGTTTTCCCAGGCCAGAAGCAGAGAATTGGATTGGAAGAGGAGGATTCGAACCAGCACCCATCTAGGATGCTGGTGCCATACTAAGCTACAGCACTGGCCCTGAGAATATAATTATTATTTTTTTTTTTTGACAGGCAGAGTGGACAGTGAGAGAGAGAGACAGAGAGAGAAAGGTCTTCCTTTGCCGTTGGTTCACCCTCCAATGGCCGCCGCTGCAGCTGGCGCACCGCGCTGATCCGATGGCAGGAGCCAGGATCCAGGTGCTTTTCCTGGTCTCCCATGGGGTGCAGGGCCCAAGCACCTGGGCCATCCTCCACTGCACTCCCTGGCCACAGCAGAGAGCTGGCCTGGAAGAGGGGCAACCGAGACAGAATCCGGAGCCCCAACCGGGACTAGAACCCGGTGTGCCGGCGCCGCAAGGTGGAGGATTAGCCTATTGAGCCACGGCGCCGGCCCGAGAATATTATCTTTTAAAATGCTATTTATACATACTGGCAGTTAGCAAAGGGGAGAGAAAAACTATAAAATCTAGGTAAAGTAACAGTAAGTATATTTATGTGAATTTTACCATTTGTCCATAATTACCATGCAGTAATATAATGATAAAAACAACAAGATAATGAAGAATACAACAAATAACTACATATCAGTCATTTTTGAGGTTTATTCAATTTTGGTTGATAATAACAAATTAATCATTATTGAAGATAAAAGGTAACACTATGTTTTGATGTCAATTTTTAGAAATTGGAAGCACTAATTATATCCCAGAAATGAAACTTTGAATACAATGGTTGCCAAAGTTAAGTTCATCCCCTTTTATCTAGTATGATTTGACTATAGGTAAAATGAGTGACAGAAGAATGCGAAGATAAGGTTAAGGGCAGAAGAGTGAAATAGTGGCCCAGTTATCAGCTCAAACATTCAAATAAATTACAAATAATTTATTATCATAAGTACAGGGTCTCCAGTACCAGAATTGAGAGCTTCTTGGCTATGTATAAAGTACAACTTGGATCAAAGTATCCTCATGTAAGCAAAACAGACTCATTCTGTCTAGAAAACACTGCACACTATTGTTGAGGTTGCCTAGTCAAAGTCAGACTATTCAAGAAACTGCTATAAATATAATAATAATTATTATCTTAAATACATTTATAAATACATACATATAAATAATTTAAAAATACGATTACATTTTTTTCCTTGAAGCTCAGCTTCAAGCAGTATCTTAACAAAATGACCTCACTAATTGACACAAAGAACCATTAAGGCAGGAACAATGTAGGTTTTATTTCTTCCATCTTGAAAACAATAAAACTGAGGTTCCAGGAACTTATGCTATTTGATTAAGGATCTAACAGTCTTAACAGCGGAAGGCAAATAGTCGAAATGATATTCTGTGTAGCTTCTCATTCTATCATTATGTGTATCTGTTAGTTTTATTATGCCTTAGCTAACCCATCTGTAATATGGGTAGAATCTTTTTGGTAGCCATAGTCAGTAGCCCTGGTCCTCTTAAGGTTGTTATCAGGAACAATAATTAAAATGATTGGTACTGTGCAAAGTATAGGGTGATCTTTCAACAACAAACAACATTATATGTTAGTGTTGGTCCCATTAGACTTGGCTTCTCTCTTACAAAGAGGGGAAACATTCATGTAGAATTATGCAGGCTCAGCACATGCTCAGCCAATGACTAAGAGTGAAGACTGGCTTCTTCATGTACACGGTACATACAGATGGTCAACACTTCACTAGTGAGTGGACTTCCAGAGCTAAGGCTGGTTTTATGAGATCTGAAAATCAGTCATCGAAGGTAACCCCCTTGCCATGTGCACCAGATGTTCTGGCTTTGTGGCAATAAACAGCTGTGGGTTGGCTGCTGACTTGAAGTAGTTCTTATTGCCTTGAGTTTCCCAGAAGAAGAGGATGTCACTCTCGCTGTCTGTGATGATCCTGGGTGTCTCAGGCATTTCCTGTGCAAAGAGAACAGAATTCTCTTAGAGATCAAGGGGATGCTAGAAAAAGGACATCCTGGCATTTGGCCTTCAGGAGAGACGACACTTCAGGACCATGACTGTGATATGATGAGCTAGGCTCCTCATTCATTTGTTCATTCATCAAGCATTTATCACATGCCTATTAGATGTATGGCTTGGTCTATTTATAAGAGCTGATTTTCTTAGTTAACCAGAAAGAAATCTGAATCAGTCAGGAAGATTGCCAATGACCCTAGTGTTTCAATGTATCCACGAAAGTAGGTGTGAAACAGTTTGTGTCCTGCCTTAAACATAGGCAAAAGGCATTTTGCATCAAATATGCCACTGGTGATTCTAAGACCTCTAGGGATTTTGCTTGCTAACTGTGCAAATCCTATCTTCGAGAAAGCTATTTAGTATTTAGATGACATTTATCTCTGTGTTTTAGTCAACAGTTGAAGGTTAAACACACACACACAGAGACACACAGAGACAAAACTTTTCAGGTGTACCAGTTGCTGAAACCTTTCAACAAAATCTCTTTAGACTGTACTTTTCCTGTGAGTGGGAATAGAATCTAACAATACTTTATTGGAAAAATAAATTTCAAATTCCAAATTAAGATGTTTATGTCCTGCTCTTTTAAATTTAAAGCAAGCATATATCTTTTTGAAGCTTGTTTAAGTGTTTCCATGTCAGCAAGAATTTTTTTACCAAACATATTCCTCTCCTAGATTTTTCCATCTCAGTAATTGGAGCTCCTCCTCTTCCCCTGTTGTTCATTCTCTGTAATAATCCAACTTCTATTTCTCTTCACCTGTTTTCCTTACTTCACCCACATGACTCTTAATTGGGCTTTCTGCTTTCGTCATTGTTTTCCTTTAGATATGTTGTCTGTTGTGGGAAATCAAATGAGGTCAGGACACTGAACTGTCTGAAGTTTTTAGTGGCTTTTCATTGTACCTCAAATAAAATCCAAATGCGAGCTCTGTAGCCTCTGCGTATCTTAATTCTGACAAAGCTCCAGTTCGAGATTACTTCTACTGATCCTTGAATCTGGCCTTTATGCTCTTGGTGCTCTAGTGCCTGGGTGCGCTCAGACCCTTCCAAGCCTTCCATTTAGAATGCCCCTGTCCACCCTTTTACATGGCCTGCTCCCTCCTATCAGTAGCTCTCATCTAACACGGAGCTCTGCCTTTGCTACTCCATCTAAATAGCATTCTCTCATTTCCCCCTATTTTAGCACCTTCTTTGTTTGAAAGAGCATCTTACAGCTTTTGTTGATTGTTTGGCTTCTCTATTGTCTCTGTCCCCCAGATGGCTAAGTTCTAATACCTAGGGACTTTGACTCACACTTGTCCACATAGCAGTTGGCAGTGTGCATGACAAAATAGATGGCACTCCCTAAATCATGCTTATTGGGTGAATTAAGGGTTGAAGCTACTGCCCTCATCTGTAGACATTACTTTCATTTTACTTGACCAGGGAGAGAAACACATACATCACATAAATTCTAGTTGGGGATAAGAGCCTTTGGGTTATACGTTTACTGAATAGGAGTCAACTACTTATTAGTGGGGAAAACTAGTGCTATTTTGGGTATGCTTGTGTGTGTCTGTGTGTTCGAGAGGCAAGGTGGGATTGGAGATGGGGTGGTGCTGACACCAATGAAAAGGGAGAGGCACTGGAGTCGGAGGGCCAGAGTTTGAGTATTGGAACCCAGCTTTTGCTTTGTGCCAATTGTCTAGTGACTAATCCTCTCTGATAACAGTTGGCTTATTTGAATTTCTTGAAGGCAGTCTCCACTGATGTAAAGCCGAGTAGGTCACAGAAGATGTCATAAAAGATGGATAGAAAGAATGGTTGTGCAGGCAAGGGAGGTAAATAAGGCTCAGGTATGGCAGGGAAAAAGGAAGAGAACACTTTTCCACATATTTACTCTTGCCACCTCCGTTATCCCCTTCCACAGACCCCGCCTAGCATCGCCTCAGAGGCTGGGTGAGAATTCAGATGGGGGTGGCATGGATAGGTTGGGGCTGTGGTAGCAAGGGAAGAGGAATGTGTCACCTTTTGGGATCATTTATAAATGTGTGGGATGTAAAGGAGAATAAGTTGGAGACTTAGGACAACTGACCTTTAGCAGCACAGGTTCATCTTCATTCTGGGCACTCACAAACAGTGGAGTTTGTGAGATTCTTAAAGTTACAGGAAGTATAGAATCCTCTGATGTCATGTAGACCCCCATGTCAAATTTCACTGTGAAAGAGAAGGAAAATCAGGAGTTTATACAGATTGTGAGATTGTGTGTGTGTTGTGTAGTTAGGTACCCAACTGTGGTATCCATAAAGTCTGGCAGGCAATACTATTCTTCTTTGGATCCTTCACAGTATGTATCACATTTACCAGGCAGGTAAATATCAGGTTAATATTTAAACAATTTCTGTGTTGAATATTAAATGTTTGGAGGCTGAATAAGTATTTGTCAGAACTCTTGTAATTACATTGGTGGGATAAAACCCTGTACTTTGATAATTCACAAGATCATAATGACCTAATATGGAGTTTAGGAAGTTGATACAAAAGTTTTAGTTGTAACTTTGATGTATAGGCTTTCTCTAATGGAGAGGAATTCTTCCCATTGGCTTCTGGGTAAATTTGAGTAGGTCATTTACTATTTCTGAGACTATTTCCTCCTCTTTAAAATTAGGGCAAGAAGATCCATCTGAAAGCACCAAGGAGGTAGTGCATCACGCAGCTTTGCACTCCATTCTTTTGAAGACAGAAGCCTGTGTTGTGGATCATTCAGATTTGGCCGAAACTTCTGTTTTTGATCAGATTCTCTTTTGTACGGGGAGCTATGTGCCTCATCCTATTGTAGAAGAATTGCATCAAGTTGGGATTTAGAGAGGTTTACTGGTTGAGAGCAGAAAGCTTAAAAAAAAAAAAAAACAAAAAAAACAGAGGGGAGGGTGACGTAGTTGGCTCTTTACCTGCATCGCCCAGATTTTGTAGTGGAGCTGCCCTGAGGTACTGATCTGAGGTGTCACGAACTAGGCTTTGATTGAGAGCATCATTCAGGGTAAACTCTTGTTTGATGATTCTCAAGTATTTGTATCTCATATTTCTCTGGAAGGTGTAAGGAACTGATCTGGGCTTGATGATTCCTAAAACCATCATTACAAGTTCAGATTAGTGTCTAGGTGCAAACACAGGTGATACACACTCTCCTACAAGCACAGAATACAGCTCTAAGAGGGACATTAAGAAGCTTCCAGTCCAATAAGGAAATGGAGGAGGGAAGATCAGTTGGTAAGCAGTGGGACTGATTCTAGAATTATCTTGTGTATACTTATTTGCCTTTTTTCCCCCAAACTTTATCCCTCAGGCAATATTTTCCTTAAAAAAGAGACTATCTGTGCAACGTTCTCATTTTTGGTTGTTTGGAGTTTGTAAGTGACCCAGAAGACTACTAGTCTTCCCATCTGTATTTCCCAATGAATGCACTGTGAGAAAAAAAAAATGAGTACATTGAGAATTGTATGTCCCTGAGGGCACAGGTCTACCTCCTTTCTGGAAAGTGGTACCAATAGTTTCTCAAATCCTCATGGGTCTGAGTAATTCTACTTCTAGGACTCTAATCTAAGTAAGTAAGTGGTAACAGACCTGAAGATTTATTGATAGACATTCTCAAAATGAGATTGATATACTGATCAAATGAGATTGATATAATTTTAAGATATAAAAATTTTAAATATATTCTTAAAGCATTAAACCTCTTTGTCTAAGTGTATAAATGCAGGCTTTAAAGAAACATAAGTTTGGCAGTGGCAATATGAGTGGCTTTCATTTTCTTTCCTATGTTTTCTTGTATTTTAAAATCTTCCAGGTGAACATCTATTATCGTTTTGATGTTATGCTGATATACAAGAATATTTGGTTTAAATTTCATGTGGAGGCTCATTCAGTAAAGACATGGAAGGAAAACCATGGTTTAAATAGTCATAGCTGAAGTATGTTTGAGGCTCTTCCACATTGTCTGCCTTTGGCCAGTTTACTTGTATCAGTGAGCTTAATTTCCTCATATACAAAGGCACTTCAAAAAGTCCATGGACAAACGGAACTAACAGAGGACTTTATTTTGGCACAAAAAATTTGAAATCCATGCATAGTTTTTTCTTTTTTATCATAATTTGTGTTTTCCACAAACTTTTTGTAGAGCCCTCATATGCATGGGTTTCAAAGTTTTTTTTTCCCACCAAAATAAACTTTTCATTCCATTTTCCATGAACTTTTTGAAGCATTTAGAATATAGAGTTGTTCTAAGGCCTAGAGACAGTGCAGACATGAATACCTTAATAGTGCTGGTATTGTTAATAAAGGTGGTGGTAGTAGTAGTAATAGTAACAATATTTTTTGGGTTCTTACTATACAGCAGTAGTCCAAAACTTTGGAAATGTTGACTGATTTATTCATCATAACAACACAGTGAGGTAGGGACTCTATCTCCATTTTTCAGCAGAGGAAATTGAAGCACAGAAAGATTAAGTAACGTGTCCAAAGAGGCATAGTTAATAGTAAGTAGGTGAACAATCTTGTTAAGTGGCCATTCACTAACAGTAAATAGCTACTTTCTCCTGAGAGACTAAAAGTCAAACAACCTTTACAACGTGGCCAGAGAATGAGTGCAAGAGCAAGTATATATACTCAGGCCGCTTCTAATCTGTTGCTAATAGAGAAGGATTCAAAACTCACTTCCCTTCCTTCCAGTTACTAGACTAACACCTGGCTGGCCTCTTGACATCCTCACACTAGGTTTTATTTTCTCTGATTCTGACTTAATTTTATTTAATTTTAAATCATTTATTTTAAATTTTTCATTTTAAATTTATTTAATTTAAAATTAAATAAAATTTAATTTTATTTTCTCTGATTCTGATTTAATTCCTTATTTACTTCAAAGAAAGCAAGGATATTATTGTGCTTGACCCCTTACCCCTTACCTTCTTCTGGATCACTGACATTGGTCTCCAGGTCAACATCAGTGATGGGCTGGTTTAAACTCAAGCGTCTTTTCTTCAGAATCTTCCCACTGGCTGTTACTGCCACCACATTCTCCTGGAAGGTGAGGTTGGGTGACACAGAGGTTTCAGAGGTACTCAGAGACACAACTTTATTCATGCAGTCTTCATGAAGTGGTTCATAGCTTGCATCATAGAAGGATTTCTGTGAGGAAAGACAATGAAAAGTGAGAAATAAGACTCTTTCAGCAGGAGTTTGTAACTCCTGATCCAGCAGACTCCAGTTCTTAGGGCTTCAGGACCATTCTTTTCTGTCCCCCCCCCCCCATCATTTCTGGATTGAACATATACAGGAGTTTGTAACTCCTGCTGAAAGTAGCAAACTCAGTGAGAAGGAACTACATTTTGGTCTTGGGTAATCTGTGTTTCCTCTCTTCTTCCTTTTTCTCCTTCCTTGCTTCCTCCCTCTCCTCTGGTTTTCTCTGAAAGAGTGTGATTTCTTTGTAAGACTTTTTTCTCTCTGCATTCTCAAAAAATGACATGGAATAAAGAAATAAGTTGACGACCTTAGGCAATGGTAGTAGCCTTCCCCCTCAGAAGGTTAAACATCTACTTGACTGTGCTCAAAGTATTTTTTTAAAAATATATATTTATTTATTTGAAAAGCAGAGCTACAGAGAGGCAGAGGGAGAGACAGAGTGGTTTTTCATCTGCTGGTTCACTCCCCAGATGGCCGCAATGGCCGGAGCTATGCCAATCTGAAGTCAGGAGCCAGGAGCTTCTTCCGGGTCTCCCAAGTGGGTGCAGGGGCCCAAGGACCTGGGCCATCTTCCACTGCTTTCCCAGGCCATAAAGAGAGCTGGATCAGAAGTGGAATAGCTGGGACTTGAACTGGTGCCCATATGGGATGCTGGCACTGCAGGTGGCAGCCTTACTAGCTACACCACGGCACCGGCCCCTCAAAGTATTTTAAGAGTATAGTATCCCTCCATATCTTTGGGTTCCACAACCATGGATTCCCCCCCATCGTGTCTGGATTGAACTTATACAGGCATTTATCCTTGTCACTATTCCCCAAACAATCCACTGTATAACATCTGCTTACATAGCATTTATATCATATTAGATATTACAAATAATTCTGAGATGATTTAAAATACATGGGAGGATGTGTATGGATTATATGCAAATATGATGCTGTTTAATATAATATTTTGGTATTCATGGTGCATGGGGTAGGGTGGGTGGTATTCCTGGAGCCAGTACCCCACAGATGGTCAGGGATGAGCATGTACCTCTGGGAACAGCTCTTAAACCAGTTATACAGACACATACGGCAGTACCTATATGTCTATTTGTGGTCTCCCAACAAAGTAACACATCTGGTGAGTGACTGCCAGTTTCTTACTTTCACTTGACCTGCTTCCTCCATCTCATCTTCATGGGCTAGACTGTTTGGAGGGCTGTCTCTAACATCTGGTGCTGGTGTCAGAGAGGACTACCACAATGCATCATGTTAGGAGAAGAGCCTGGTGAGTTGACCTGAGGGGCCATCTCAAGAAGGATAGCCAGCATCCTGAAGAGACCTGATCCAGCAGACTCCAGTTCTTAGGGCTTCAGGACCATTCTGTTCTGTTTTGGCAAAAGCTGGTGAACATGAATGATGCCATCAATTGTTAGTTGGTCTCTCTTGCAAGGAAGAAATATAGGTTTTGTGACCTCCAGTGAGGGTAAAACAAAAGCATCGAAGATTCAAGCCATTGCTGTGCTTTTCTGGTGGATAAACTACTGTGTAAAACTAGTGGTCCCCTTAGAATTACAGTCATTTTCTTACCTGATTCAGAGAAAGATGGTCAATGGCAGAGCTGTATTCCTCATTTTCACTGTTAAAATAAAATGAAGAGAATGTAATGCTGTTCATTATTTCACTATGATCACCATATTTTAATAACCACATCGATTTTGGGCAGCTAACATGAGTGTACACACATTACTCTCATCTGTGAACATTAAGGACAAGTACAGCTGCATATGTTAATTCATATTGCATTCATGTGGAGTTAGTAATCATTAGACCAGTCCTTGAGCTTTACCTGAGCTTTATCTATAAAAATTGGGCTTGGCTAACAAATTGAAGGGCTTTACTTGAATTTCAGGAAAAAATGTGAAACTCTTTGAGAGAAAAACCATACTTCGAAAGTGCCTCATTTTTACTTTAACCAAATAGAACCTCTGATACACTTTACTTTTATGTATTCACTGAGACAGCTTTAATAATTTACACTTGGTAAAATACCAAGGCAAGATGTTGATCGCCTAGTTTGCGTTAGTATTTACTATAGTAATGGAACAGCACAAATGTTCCCTCATTTTACCTGTCTGCTCATTTACCTTTCTTCTATGTCTGAGTAAGGTTTGCTGGTGAACAACTCTTCACAGGCTCAAGTCACAGTGGAGCCATCTCCTCCTCCCGACTGAGATCAGGCTTTCTTGAGAATGGATTCTCTCTTAGGTGCCCATTAAAGCCTATTACCATGGCAGAGCCCATGAACTCAACCGAGGCTGTGTCCAAATTCATGGAGGAGTCAGTCCATCTCCAAAATAATTTTTCTAAAATGGCTATCTCCCTGGATGCCTGGGCTCCCTGGGTCATCTGTGACCTGCTCTGATTTCAGGGCTAGCATGTATCTCCGCGGCTTCTGCCAGCCTGGCCCCATGCTGGTCACTGTAACTGCCAGCTGGAATCGAATGCACCTTGGACCCCTCATTAAACCCTGAGAGATGGAATCTGTTTCTTACCTGAAACAGTTCTTTAGGTCTTCAAACAGATCAGGGACTTTGGCCATCTTGATTTCTGCAACAGAGAACACGGGTGGCTGTCAGCTCTGTCAGCCTCTGAACCAGATGCCTGCCAAGGGGGACACCTCTGCTTTGTACTTCTTGAGATACTTCATTGAATGACTTAACCCACACTCAGCATTTCCCTTGTATTTCTCACTCCCGCGAATTATTTGTATATGCATCTGCCTCCTCTACTAGATTGTAAACTTCTTTTAGAATGTTTTATTTATTTTATCTTGGTATTCCGTATGTGCACAACATAATACAGTACAGAAAGTAGGCAAAATTTGGATAGGTTAAAAATTTAAAAACACATTAGAGAGGGGCGGGGGGAGAGAGAGAGAGAGAGGGAGAGAGAGAAAGAGAGATCGAAATGTTCCATTATCTGGTGGTACAGATTCCTTTCCACGGACCATGGCTATACACATATGAAGCCAGTTCTGCTGTCTTCCCATTCCCCATTAGTAAAACCACACAGTCGTTTTCTAAAACTTGATAGTGATTCTAGCTCACACACCAAAGCAGGAGGGACACACACACACACACACATGCAACGCAGGAAGGAAGAGGTGATAGTTTTAGATAAGGCAGTTTGAGAACAATCAGCCAAGCAGAAAAACAAACAAAAAAATATTTCAAAAGCCAGAGATGTGATAAGGACAATACCTTTGCCGACTCAAGTGCCAATGAACTGACTCCTTCTCTGCCTGGAAAACTAAGCCTGAGTCAGGCTCCTTCGCCTTTTGTAATTGTCTTCTCCTAAGTAGGCGTGGCCACACTGTGTCATAGGAATTTACAGGGAAGAACTCTGCTTTTTTATTTCTCTCGTTCATTCACAGATTGTATTTTTTGTGATATTATTAACTGCAAAGATTCCAGGAGTTTTTGATTTGGCTCATTTAGTATGTTGCCCTTTGTAATTATATACATGTAATCTTAGAAAAAGGGAAGAAGAACAGGAAACATCAAGTTTCTAAAAATATAAGGGGGAGGAGGAAGGGAGAAATTCCTAAATCAGAATCGGAGAGAAGCTTAGTAGTTGTACTTTGTATTTTGGCTTAATTTGTTTAGGGTTCCCCAGAGCTGAGTGTGAACTGGTGGAATGCTTGTCAGCTCCTGTGAGTGAAGGGGTGGGTAACATTTCAGGCACAATGATCCTTTTTTTTTTTTTTTTTTTTTTTTTTTTGTGAAGAGAGAGGTTTTCTTGAATAGACATCATTCGGAGTTTGGGGGTGACAATCCTCTGGTGAGGAATAGATAGAGGAACAAAAAAGCACTTAGCCACATATGTTTGATTCTTTTACTGCTCTGAAGATGGTCAACATGTTTTCTTTCTGATTCTTTCTGTAAAAGATTTATTTTTATTTGAGAGGCAGAGTTACAGAGAGAGAGTGAGACAAAAAAGGTCTTCCATCTGCTGGTTCACTCCCCAAATGGGTGCAAGGGCCCAAGTACTTGGGCTCTCTTCCTCTGCTTTCCCAGGCTATTAGCAGGTAGCTGGATTGGTAGTGTTGCAGCCAGATCTCAAACTGGCACCCGGATGCTGGCACCATAGGTGGAGGCTTAACCTACTGTGCCACAGCACTACCCCCACCCCCCATTTTTTTTTCTAGCAGAGGTGATGGAGATTCTGAAGAGAACATTCAGCCCTAGCTGCATTACATTAGGTGGCCTCTACCAGAATCCAAAGAAAAGTCTGATCTCGTCTAGGATAACCCCGAGGTGTGTGAGGTTAGCTGCAGGTGCTGGGGGAGGGAAGGTGTGGAATCTTAACGCAGGATACTACATCAGTGGTGTCTAGTCATTATCTTTAAAAGATTTTTTAGCATCCCAAAGGGGAGTCCATTTCAGGTGGTAGAACATCAAGATTCTTAACAAATAAATGTTTCAGGTTTTCTAGTTGGAATTTAAGCCATGAACAATTAAAGGAAATGAAATGGATGGGAGAAAAGTGTAGAGGAAAGGGGAAAAAGGATAATATGAGGAAGGTGAGGCACTGAAATCTGGTATAAAAAAGTTAACAAGTACAGAAGTGGGAGTCAAGCGGCTCTTTGAATTGGATAAAATATTCTCTCTGGTCCAGTTTAAACTGTAAACAATGGGGTCTGTTAAATGATCATTGAGATCTGTTGTAGGTACAAAACTTCTGATTCTGATTGCATTGAGCAGTTTGGCTCCTCCTGGTCATAACCCTGGTGTTACAATAGTTATTATTAAGGGTTCACACAAACCAGCACATCCGGAATATAGGCAGTGTAAGTGTAGGACCAGCTTGGGGCAGAAACTTGAGTTCTACGACAGGTCCCATAAAGTGAGGGCAGCCCACTCCACTTTTCTACTTACTTTGGTTCCCCTTCAGACAGAACAACACAGAAATGTGAATCCCAGTCACCCCCTCTGCCTCCGGGGATCTTGTGAGGACTATTACTAAGAAACAATTGCCAAGCACATCATGAATGTGGGTGCTATGGAGATGTAACTAAACAAAAATAATAACAACCTTAATGATGGCTTCAGTCATCATTGGGAACCTGTAGAGTTGTCATTGTAATGCCTTAGTTCACCAAAGAAAATAGAGTTCTTTTAAAAATATTGATTTGAGAACTTAAACCAGGAGGAAATTTTCAGCCATTGAAGCCCTAAAGAAATTTGGGTTCTTGGAGCAATACACATCACCTCTTTGGTAATTCAGGAAAACACCCTTGGTTCCACTGTCTGTGGCAACACCCATCCTGGCCCTATCTTCACTCCTCGATTGTAGAGAATTCCCCAGTTGTGGTTGTTGAATTTCTCAAAGAGAGTTCGGTTGAGAAATAGCTAACTTTGCCTTCTCATGATCTTCTTGGAAACTGTTTTTTAAGAAAAGAACAGGATGAATGAGATTCAGAGTGAGAGGTCCTGGCTTTCTTTTGGGGAATCTGCTCTTCTGTTAGTGTGAACAAAGACTGTCCAGATCACCTCCCCTTGAGAAGGGTGAGAGGAATGTGATGAGTAGGACTCTACTGGGTCCTGGGATATGTGTGTATTCCCAGTCCTGTGGAAAGGACTTCTGGTGTCTTCCTGCAAATATCTCTTGACTCTCTAAGGAAGCCCCTAAAAACCTGTCTTGAGGGGCTGGAGTTGTGGTGCAGTGGGTTAACATGCTGCTTGCAATGTTGGCATTCCATTCCAGAGTGCTGGTTCAAGTCCCACATGCTCCATTTCCAACCAACTTTCTGTTAATGTGCCTGGAAAGGCAGCAGAAAATGGCACAAGTGCTTGGGCCTTTGCCACCCATGTCAGATAGTAAGATGGAGTTCCTGGCTCCTGGCTTTGGCCTGTCACAGATGTGGCTGTTGGAACCATTTGGAGAGTGAATCAGAGTATGGAAGATCTCTCTCTCTCTCTTTCTGCCTTTCAAATAAATAAATCTTAAAAAAAAACCCTCTTCACTCATTGTCACCTAAATTGTATAGAAAAAAATTTACTGTGCACTTAATCTGTGCCAAGGGTTCTGCTATACATCACCATTTTTCTTTCATGATCCACAAAATTCAGTATGCAAGATGAGATATGTTGATCAGTCAACAGGCTTCAAACGCTTGGAGATTGTGTATCTAAAGAATCATAGTGATATTTTTCATGTGAAAAATTGTTTTATAGTTCATAAAGAGCTGTCACCTGCACTGTCTCACTGGCTCTTCACTGTACCTATAAGAGTTACCTATTACTATTCTCCTTCATAGCTCAAGTCCCTTGAAAGAGCTTAAGGGACTAACCTAAGGTCACAAAACTGGTATAGCCAGCATTTGAAGTAAGGCTTATGATGGCAAGCCCCATTTCCTCTTTCCCCTGCATGCACATGCTTGAGTCTCTTATCAACACCAATGTCATGTAATAAGGCTAACGTAGATCAATCTCCAGGTCTTTCCTGCCTCAAACACTCTGCTCATACTTTCTAAGATCCTTGTAAAAAAGGAAAGAAAATATTTGAAATATCTTACCCCCCTTCTTGTATTTCTTTTTTTTTTTTTTTGATGAAACAGCTGGTTATTTTTTTACTGGATTTTTATTTATTTATTTACTTGAAAGGCAGAGTTACAGAGAGGCAGAGGCAGAAGCAGAGAGAGAGAGAGAGAGAGAGAGAGAGATGTCTTCTGTCCTCTGGTTCACTCCCCAAATGGCTGCAACAGCCTGAGCTGGGCTGATCTGAAGCCAGAAGCCAGGATCCTCTTTCAGGTCCCCCACATGGGTGCAGGGGACCAAGGATTTGGGTCATCTTTTACTGGTATCCCACGCCATAGCAGAGAGCTAGAATGGAAGTGCAGTAGCTGGGTCTCGAACTCACACCCAAATGGGATGCCAGCACTACACATGGTGGCTTTACCTGCCGCTGTCCCACAGTGCTGACCCCTCTCTTCTTGTCTTCCCATCTAATCTAATTTCATAATGGATTCTGTGATGTCCAGGAACAGGGTAAGGGTGATATGTAATTGAGCACATGGTCAGTGGTGGAGTCTGGATGTGAACTTCAGTTATGGTTTTGCCATTTACCATGAAGATATGAAATATCTGCAAGCATCTTTGGAACTAACTTTAAAATTGTTGCCTGGGCTTGACTCTGACAGTTTCACTTGAATGAGGAGACAAGCATAGTACTTCTTTGTGAGTTTTCAGGAGAGCATATCTTTACAGTCAGCACTCTATATCTGTGGGTTCTGCACCCCGAATTCCACCAACTATGGATCAAAAATACTGAGAAAAAATGATTGTATCTGTCCCGAACATTATCCCCTAAACATTACACTATAACAACTATTTACATTGCATTAGGCATTATAAGTAATCAAGAGATGATTTGGAGTATATAGGAGGATGTGTGTGGGTTATGGACGATTACTAGATCATACTCAAGATACTTGAGCATCCAGATTTAGGTATTGGTGAGGAAGTTCTAGAACCAATCTTTGTAGATACTGAGAGACATGGATGATTATATTTCTTTTCAGGTGGAATAAAACCTATTCAGGAAATAAAATATGCATAAACTATTATATGCAGAGGCAATTGAGCCTTTGGTCTCAACTCATGTCCTCTGTAATCATAACCTGCTTTTCGATTCCAAGACAGGGAGCAGAAGGAAAGGACTTTCCATGGTAGCCTACCAATATCCCAGGTGTTATAACATAGTGTCTCATTTAATCTTCTCATCAAACCTGTGGGGTAGGTATTCTTACTACATTTTACTAAAGAGGAAGTCACGGTCTAGAGAGATTAAGCAATCTACCTAAGGTTGCAGGGCTACCAAACTTTGGAAATGGACGCAGACATAGGAGCTTACCCTCAACCACAAGGCCTTCTCTTTTCCTTTCCTGTGCACTTTTAAATTAATTTTTAACTCCTCTGCTTTGTCTTAGGATCTTGAAGATTCTAGAATTAAAAGTTAGAAAAGGGTGCACCTCAGGGACTCTTGCTTTTATCAAAGAGGAAACAGGTTGAGAAGACAAATATGCCCCACAGTCACATGGAGAATTCATGTGAGAGTGAAAGTAAAATTATAACTCACTGTTGAATTCTAGTTCAAAATATCCTATGACTTAGAGGCACTGGCTTTTCAGGGAATAGGGCAGTGTTGAAGCAATGGTCTCTCCTGTGGCTTCTCCATGTTAACTTAAAAAAGAATTACAAAGAATAGAACCCATGAATTGAGCAAAACTATCTATGGTCCTGCTCTCCTAAAAGCTGGCAATGAAGTGCTTCAGCGATGAACTTCTACACAAGTAGGTAATTATGAACTGAGATAATACAGTCATAATGCAACAGATGTGCTAGTCTTAGGTTGGAAATGGGTAGTTCAATGGGGAGGAAAGAGGGAACATTCTAGGCTAAGCAGATGTAGTGGTGAAGTAAGATAAGTAAAAATGGGTCATTGAGGCTGGAGCTCAGAAAGGTGGGGGTGGGCGGTGGGTTGATGAATTGAGGATGAGGAAGAAAGCAAGAGCCAATCAGGCAGACCTTATGTGGTCTTGATGCAAAGTTTAATAGGAAGCCATCAAGGTCATGTGTGTTGGTGACATAATCAGCTTTATACTTTTGAGCTATCAACTTTTCCTTTTTTTTTTTTTAAGGCAGAGTGACATAAAGGTGGGGCAGGGGAGGGAGAGTGAGTGCAGGAGAGAGATATCTTACATTCTTGCTCCCTAGATGGCCATAACAGCTAGGGCTGGGCCAGGCAGAAACCAGGAGCCAGGAGCTTCATGTGGGTCTTCCACATGGGTAGCAGGGACCCAAACAATTGGGCCATCCTCTGCTGCCTTTCCCAGGCCATCATCATGGAGCTGTACGGGAAGTGGAGCAGTTAGGACATGAACCAGCGCCCATATGGGATGCTGGCACTGCAGGTGGCGACTTTACCTGCTATGCCATAATGCTGGCCCCTCAACTTTGTCTTTGAAAGTAAGTTCTACAGGAGTCACTGTGCACTTACTCCTCATGTAGGATCTCTGTCCTTAATGTGCTGTACATTGAGATTTAATGCTATAACGAGTACTCAAACAGTATATTTCACTTTGTGTTTCTATGGGGGTGCAAACTGTTGAAATCTTTACTTAATGTATACTAAACTGATCTTCTGTAAAAAAAAAAAAAGAAATTATCAACTCCCAGCTTGACTCTCACTGGGATTAAACATGACAATAGGTCTGATCTGATTTCATCATCATTTAAAAAATCATCTATTATTTTTCGCTTTATGTTTCTGTGTGGGAGCAAACTGTTGAAATCTTTACTTAATGTATGCTAAACTGATCTTCTGTATATAAAGAGAATCGAAAATGAATCTTGATGTGAATGGAAGGGGTGAGGGAGTGGGAAAGGGGAGGGTTGCGGGTGGGAGGGACGTTATTGGGGGGAAGCCATTGTAATCCATAAGCCGTACTTTGGAAATTTATATTCATTAAATAAAAGTTAAAAAAAAAAGAAAGTAAGTTCTAGATTGTCAGACAAAAAGGACAGGGATTATGTAGTGAAGTGAGACCAGACTGGCTCCCTTAACTCCCACTTGTGTGACAGAGACAGTGAGTAGTGTGGGAACCTAGACAACAGGTGGATGACTTTGGCTTAGAGGAGATGCAGGAAGTTCAAGTTGGTGGAGGACCACAGTAGGAAGGGAATGGCTTTGTGTTTGCTCAGCAAATTCTCATTTAGCTCTGATTCCCTCTCTTTGCCTTAGCTCATTTGTTCCCTAATTTATGTGCTTTTTTTATTTCTCAATTCTTTTCTCTTGAGATGGTACTTAATTGGGCTGTTCTCCTTTTTGCCTTCTCCCTTGGATGCATGTCTTTCTTTTCATCTTTCATTGAAGATGCTCTTTAAAAATTAGAGTTCATCAAAGCTTCTTGTGTGGCAACAGTCATGTCTGTGCTTGTCTCTCACTTTTATCTTCTGGCTAAATGTGATTATCTAATCAGAAATGCCTTCTGAAGAAATTTTCTTTCCCTTTGAGTCATTTTGCTTGTTGGAGTCAGCGTTATCTCTAGTCTGAACTTGTTTCTCAATTTCAGAAAATGTATATTACTCTTTTGGATTCTAAAATGCATTTGTTAAATATTTTTATGGAAATATAATAAATGCAGAAGAAAACAAAATCCACAGCTAAATCACTAGAGATGATGATTATCACTGTTTCAGTGTATTTCCTTTTAGTCTTTCTTTTTTTCAAGTCATAGATAGCTGTTTTTGGACAATTGGGATATTCTGAACTTTTTTGATATCTACTTCTTGAAATTTAGGGAACCTATGCCATCTGTTCATTCATGGGATTACTTTATTCACAGCTGTCATCATTTCTGCACTTCCTGTGGTTAACCTATGGGCATATGGTTTGTTCTGGCCAATGAACTGTGAGTGGGAAGTGATTTATATGTGATGTTATACTTTTCAGGTGATGTAATCAAGGACCAGTGTTCACCTTTATCATAATGACTACCCTGATGCATCCACTTTAGAAGTCATGTTTTTCAGATAGTATGGTTGCAAATGGATGAGGTGTGGCTATAAATGCATGGGAATAGAACAACCTGTTTCAGACTTTGAATGAGTGAAAAACAAATCTTGAATTATAGTTAAGTCACTGGGATTTCTGAACTTATTTGTTACTGTGCTACAGCCTAACCTATTCTAGTGGATGTGAGACTTTTTTTTTCTCTACCACAAACTCCAAGATGAAATACATTTTAATATCAAAATTCCTTTTTCACACAATCAATTTCTTCTTGGGCAGAAGTGTGTCTAGATTAGCATTCTGCTTGTCATGGTCTCTACTCCATGGGAGATGGATTTTCCAATAACTTAATCAGCTGCTTTATTTTGGCCAGATTCAGATTCCAGATATAAAGATAAATTAGCTATGAAAATATAAAGGCCAATAATAAAAAGTTAATACTGTTGAGTTAGTATCCCAGATGCAGATCACAGAGTAATTATGTTAATTTTCTAAAAATTATATCATGCTTGACAGTTTTTCAAAGCATTTTTTACAAACGCATATGAACTTTCAATCTTATGTGAGCTTGACTGTTTTATGCATGCAAATCATTAGTAGCAAAGGGCCTATACCCAGTTCCCAGTTCCCTCCTTCCTGTTTTTGGTGTGAACTCCTGGTTGCAAGGGAGTTTGGGACCCTGAGAACAGCAATAGTGACACAGGCCAGGGAGTGGCAGGTGTTACATTAAATGAGGATGGAGAAGCAAGAGACTTAGATCGTCATCCTGGCTCTGACCGTAATTAACTATGTGGCCTTTGGCAATTCCCAGTGTCTCCTGGTGTTCCTTATTGACAAATAGAGGAGAGGATATTGGACTGGCCAACCATATCCTGGGGTTCTTCTAGCCCTGGTCATCCATTCCAGATTTCATGACTATCCTGGATAGGGCCATGTTCTGCTTCATGGTACTCCTTGACTCTTGAAATATTGATTTCCATTCATAAGGCCCACACTAGATTCACTCTTTGCTATCCTTTCATAGCATTTTTCTCATGCACAGTTAAGTCACAAAAAGATACATGCTAAACTCTTTCTGCTTTTCTTCTGAGTATAAATACAAATGAGTTCTTTTCTAGTGCATACATATGTAACAGCTGCTTAGAAATTATAAGGAAATGACCATTTTACAATGTCCATCATGTGATGGTGACTCATCCTTGTTTTCTAGAAAGCTTGCTATACATGAAGGGTCATCTGGGCCCTTGATTAACCTCAAGAAAAGGAAGTTTCTGAGTCTGAAACTCTGGACAACTTTTGAAGCATTTTGATAAAAAAAAAAATGAGCATCCAAGGAAAAAAATATGACCTGAACTTTCCCTTTCCTATATCTTCCCTCCATGGGGTCTCAGAGGTGTCTCCAGTAGACACCTCTGTTCAGAGTGCTGTGGTTTCCCTGAGAGAGAATGAGCAGAATGAGACAGAGCCTGGACTCAGGAGCAGGAGCCAGGATCACATGTGAGCAGGTGTTTCTGTATAGCACAGCTCCATGAAAATCTGTCTCTGCCAATATGGATACCTGCTTCACAGTTCTGTCATGCATGAGGCATTGTATCAGGAACCAAGGGGAAACAGGTGGCAAGAATTCCACTTGCCTTTAGCGAGCTTTGAACTTGTAGGGGAAGACATAGGAAGATGACAATAATGCAAACAGAATAAAATAAAGGCTAGAATGGAAATAAAAGCAGAGATTTGGGGAGGGAGTGACCAAAGCTAAAATGGAGGACCAACACAAGGATGCCTTCATGTATTTTAGCTTCACATATTTTGCATAGTGGAGAATGGATATTCCAGGCTGAGGAAACAGGGTGAGTGAAGACATACAGCATGCATTTCATGTCAGTGTCTCGTTGTGTAGCATTGGGCAAGCTACTCAACTTTTAAAGTTTGATTGCTTCATTGTAAAACTGAGTTAGTAATACTTCATAGGGTTCAGAAAGATTAAATGAGATTGTGTTTGTGAGAGTTCAGTGTTAATTTTCTTTCCTTTATCTCCAAATGTCCAAAATTCTCCCACCTCTACATCTTTGCTCAGCTTGTTTTTCCTTTGGGGTTTATTCTACATCATTCACCCATGGAATTTAGATGTTTCTTTACTAGTTATCCTAGGCTGCTCCTTGACATAGAATGGACAGCATGGATTTATCACAGGGAATAACAAATGTGGCTAGCCAGAAGTCAAGTTACAGTCTAAGGTATTCTAAGTAAAGGTAAGCTTGTGTGTAGTGGTTCTAATAGGCTGGAATAAAGACTAAGGGTAATCAGTTCATTCATTCATTTACCTACTTATTTACTCATTGAAGATGGGGGACCTTTGGTTCAGGAACATGATTGGAGCTGAAGACTGAGTAATACATAAGATAAACCTGATTCCTAACTCATGGAGCATCTCTGCCAGCAGAGAAGCCATATCTTTTAAAAATATTTATTTATTTTTAATTTACTTGGAAGGCAGGGAGAGAAAGAGAGAAAGGAGATGGAGGGAGGGAGGAAGTGAGGAAGGGAGGGAGGGGGGGAGAGAGAGAGAGAGAGAGAGAGAGAGAGAGAGAGTATTTCCATCTCTTTGTTCATTCTCAAATACCTACAACAACCAGTGCTGGGCCAGACTGAAATCAGGAGCCTGGAACTATATCTGGGTCTCCCATGTGGGTGGCAGGGACTCAAGCACTTGAGCCATCATCTGTTGCCTCTTTGGATGACCATTGCCACAAAGCTAGATAAGAAGCAGAGGAGCTGGGA